CTATATCCTGCGTGCGGTGTCAATAGTGGTGTCTATAGGCCATGTGTGGTGTCAATAGTGGTGTCTGCAGCCCCAGTGTGGTCACCTGTGCGGTGTCTGCTGCCCCTGTGCATTGTCAAACGCCCCCGCGTGGTCTGTGCCTTGTAGATGAGTCCCACTCGTTCAGCAATGTCCTCTACTACGGCCACGAGGCCACATTGCTGCTGCTCGACACGCTGCTGTTTTGCATCATCGACATGGGCACGCAGGACTTCACCCTCGCCACCATCATCACCTTCGTCGTTCAGACGGTGCGGCACAACTCGGGGATGCGGCCTATTCAGATATTAGTCTGGGGACATTGGGATGCACCACGTCTGCATTTGTAGCCAACAGCACATATCCCTGTCTGCCGTGGGCAGTAAGAGCAGCGAGGTGTGGAACGTGACGACTGCAAATCCAGTTTACTACAGTTGTGAGCAGTCAATCGTGAATCAAATGTACCTTTTGTGAGGACCTCCTTATGCCGTATTCTAGTAGATTGTTTAAACGTGGTTGTTATTCATGTCGTGTCCGTATTAATGATTATAACAGGCAATTCATTATTTAAAAGTTTCAATCTTGGCTGTAGCATGATTCTACCCCTCATTCATCCAGTCAATTAAATTTGTATTACTTTGTGTTAAATCAACATAGTTTATCCTCATGAATAACTGACCCATGCCATAGGAATGTGGAATTTCCACCATTGACTCAAGGGCAGTCAATGGAAGTGGCTGCTGACTTACGAGTTATCAAGGAGACACTTTGACTTTTGAGCTAACTCTTGATGTGTGTGTGTGTGTCCGTGTGGATTAGCTCTTCCGGTCAATTCGCGAGTCGTTCTCACGAAGAAACCTCGTTAAGAAGACCCTGGTGGACGAGCGCTTCCTGATTTAGCGGACGACGAGAACGTGGAGCCTTCTCTCACCAACTCTGTGCCGCGGTGTGAGAGCCAACAAGCAAGTCTCGGCGTTTCCAACAACAGAAACACTCAACTACGTGACTGAGAACACCGCTGTTAAAGCAGGTGTTTATGTTTGTTAACTAAGGTGAATTTACACCGTCTGCGGCAAATAATCCTAGTTGATTAGACCGCTGTAAGCAGTGTGGTGATGTCACCACATTTCTTAGTTGTTTCCTTCTTTCTTGCAGATTCCACAATCAATACCTAACCTCCCAGGTTAATCTTAGGTGTTGTTTACCATTCAGAAATATTCAATGTTTAAGAAATCTGTCATGAAACCCAGATTCCTCAGCAGTGGCACAGTCCCCACCAATACTCGAGGTGGTTGGATGTCGACTGTGAGAGCATCTCTCCATTTGGAAATCTTAATTGTTTGAGGAATCTTACTGTCACCAAACCCAGAAAGCCCACTTTGTACGGCTACAGTGATACCTGGCTGGACTGCACAGACATTGTTAATCCAGGTAGTGTCCGTGCCAGCACGAGAGATACTAATACTGGTAGGAACCCACTGGTTACACCAGCCCACAGGGGATTGTTGTGTCCGTCCGTCTGTCTGTCGTGCAGGGAGGGGCTGGGTGGGGAGGGGCTTGGTGGGGAGGGTGGGGCTGGGTGGGTAGGGGAGGGTGGGGTGGGGCTGGGTGGTTGAGGGAAGGGGCTGGGTGGGTGGCTAGGGGCTGGGTGGGGAGGGTGGGGGGAGGGTGGGGGGAGGGGCTGGGTGGGGGGTGGGGCTTGGTGGGGAGGGGCTGGTCACCCCGTGGTGCCCTTATAAAACTCAACGTTTAACCTACTCACGCCGGCTTGTGCCCACCCTCACAGTCGGGCATATTTGCGGAATACACCACGCCCTGGCCGTTGACCCTGCCATTGACCGAGCAACCCAACGTTCCTACCAGCTCCCTCCGCAGGAAATGTGTTGAGAGCCCAGTGTCTTCGTGTGATGATTGTGACTGGTGGAGCACCGAGTGTGGCCAATCCTCTGCCACTGTTTATGGATGCCATTAGTTTACTGGATTCTCACCAATGCCAATTACTCAGGGTCCGTCCATCCTTGGAGATGCCGCGATTATCTCTTTCTGTTAGACCATACTGACCTCACTGCACGGTGTAGGCTGCTGCTCGTCAGTGGATTTGCCGTGGAGTTTATTTGTATGACATCTGTGGATCGATTCCCACCACAGCTGCACGACAATTTCTCTAATTATTGGCCAAGTGCTATTTGCTGTGATTGGATGTTAAAGGTTTTGACGTCGTTGGCCACTGTGTGATCGTGTTGTTGTGGTCCAATGTTGACAAATGAATGAACGTTTCTTGCAATGTTCAATTTGGGGAAACTCTTCACTTGACAAGAGTAATATGTGCATCCTTACACGGACTTATAGTAACATGGGTGATATGTATTTGGAAAACCTCTATGAAAACTCAGAGAAATTGGTCATTTGGTAAGCACGTCATACCTAAGAGTCTGAAGAGCCACTTATGCTCTGCTGAATATACAAATGTATGTATGTTGAACTTCTTTCACACCGTACGTAGCCAACCTTGCTAATCGGAGGTGCGGGGAAGGACAACAATCTAAACACAAACAACAGTTGCAAAAGATTTTGTTCTCAATTTCCACTTAAAAGTGCATAGCTACAGTAGCTTCCTAATATTCGAAACTAAACTATTCGTGATAATAATAGAACTAGGCCTGTTGCTGCATCCGCGGCACTAAAGGTAAGCTGCCTGCTGCTGGAATTTGATAATCTGCTGACCTTTAATCAACATGGAAGTCCTCCGTAGGCCCCACTCCTTCCTGATTAGGCTCAAATTGTTCTCTCTTTAAGGCTTCTTGACTTTCCTTTTTCGGCTCCACCCATTCTCCTTTAGGCTCCACCCCTTCCTCCAGACACAGGGTTGGGCTGGTGGGGGTTGGGTGGCAGTGGGTGGGCAGGGTCAGGAGGGATCGAGGTGTGGGGGCAGCTTCACGACCACTCCAAAACCCCCCTTGGAGCAATAGGAGATGTTTATAGGTACGATGGTGGCTGTAAGAACGTAATCACCAGGTGGGGTGTTGACTGTTGTGTTGGCCGACTCTCTGTGTTGTATTGCATTATATTTACAAGTTTACTAGGTTTGTTTTCTAATTCATTTGTACCTGACGATGGTTGCTTGTGTTGCAATCGAAACGTCGTATTCTATTATTATTTAATTCTTTCTACATGACTTTACCGAAAGAACCAAAGAGTAATTCCTGCAGTCACGAAAGCTTCGAATCTAGTTTTTACTACTTTGTTGTAAAATAAAAGTTATTGTCCTCTCGACTGGCCCTGGCCATGCAAATAGTGAAATGTACACGAGTGTGGGACCACCTTCACTAATGAGCAGCACTCCGTTGATCACTGGAACAGGACACACTGACAATATACTGGGTCAACTGGATTTCGGTGACTTTTTCTGTCCTTGTGTCTAAAAACCTTCCTGACTTTGAGTAAATACTATCGTTCTAAGTGCAGAATGCCAGAAACATTGGCGTGTTAACATATCGCCAGTGTTAAGACGATTTGGAGGCAAGAGAATTGGGGATAACCTCAAGTCAGCAGATTCACGATGGAAAACTCCACGGTGGAGTTTTAAGTATGGCAAGTGATGAACAAACGATTACTTAGGTTGTTGGGCGTGTAATGACATTCAAGTTAATCTTTTCTTTCAGAGATCATACCGAAGGATTGAGAATCCTCACGAGGTGGCTGAGCGTACGCAGTGACTGAGCGCTGTGGAGACCCAGGGTTCAAATTGGGGCTTTCACTCATCCACGATTATAAACTACCTTCTGATGTGTAGCAAGTTGGTGTTAAAACTAAGCTAAAAAAGTTAATTTTTATTTGACCAGGTAGGTCCCACCGAGCTATACAGCTGTTTTTAGAAGCGACCTGGCCCACAAATGGGAGCTCAACTTAGTGGCTTTTCGTGTGTATATTTATGGCAGCCAAATATAAATGCGTGTTTCTAACTGTGGAGGGAATAAGTATTATAAAAAAAAACGTTTTTTTTAAATACGATTTCATGAAATCTACCGTACTAGTAATGGCAGAACTCCACGACTCCAGGAAGTGGGCCCGAAGCTTGCCAGTAACGCTAAGGGGCCGTGGTGATTTACAGCCAGCGTCAGTTGAGCGTGGACAATTATACTCAAGCTGAAACATAACATATAAAAAAGAATGTTGAAAAATATTTTTGATAGAATATAGTATTGTCATCAGTATGACATAAGTATACCAAGTTTGCAGTCGATACCACATTGGGAAGTGGGTTAAAATTGAGTTACAAGATTTGAGGATATGACAACAACAGAATGAGTTAATAGAAAGCGTGTAAAAACCAGAGGACATGGATAACAAGTCCATACAACCACGGGGCAGAATATGCAAACACCGAATATAAAAGCGTCGGGATTGAACCCACGACCTGCATATCAGGCGAGGGAGTTAAAATCTCACCACCGTGTTAGCCCAGGCAACAATGAGCAAAAAACCTTCATATGCATACATTTGGTTCTTTACTTACTCAAGCTCGGAAGACTCAAATTTCAGATCAGTTGCTCATGAAACACTTTGCAGAGCATCATGAAAGATGCACCACCAAGTGGTGTAGACGCTATTGCATGAACTTCTTCACAGGCTGTCGTGTAAAGTCACGTTCTGGGTATGAGCTCATGTCGCACTCCTCACTGCAAGAGTTCCAAATGGAAATATCTTCATCTCGTGACAAGTCACCAACAGTCGTGGGGATATATTGGGGGAGGAGGGGAATATCGCACTACATATGAACAATGAACCTTGCCCATCAGGCAATGCTGCGTGTTTATTGCTTAAAAAGTTGTAAAATGTTAAAGGTGTCGTTGTTTTAAATACCCTTTGATATGATTTCCTGTCGCGCGTCTGCACATTTTTGAGATTAGTTTTGTTTTGCGTCGGTTGGTTTCACTTTGTATTTGTACAAAACGTTTTAATACACCTTTATGCAATGCGAGTACAAGCTGTTGTTTTTATTCGCAAAAAAAAACATCAATACATTCACATTTCGCTAACGAATCAAATTTCACAAAGTACGAGCAGACAACAAATGCATTCCTGTAACAGCAGCGCAACAATGGCCAAATAATGAGACTCCCTGCAGACAGCTGTGCCACCGGCACCAAGGGAGAGGCAACGTCGGACACTCCGCCCCTACTGACCATCTTCTGACAATTAGCTTCATCGCTCATAGATTTATCCAGGATAAATATTGTGATCCGTTAAGTTTACACGAGGCCGGCAGCCGTGGCTGCACTGCTTTGCAAACCCCGATATCGATGCATGAAGTGATGCACCGGTGGCTTCCGTGAAGTCTGTAGAGCGGCACTTCTCGCGCAGCTCTGCGTTGTTATCGACATGCTCGTGAATTTTTACGGAAAAACACATTGCCAAACGTGGATAGTTGGCCTGATCAGGGAGTGCCGAGTTGTTTCAAGATGCATCGCTCTAAAATAACCAATTGCTCTTCGGTGGCCAATTTGGATGAATGACGCTGTTTGCACGACACACATCTCGCAAACGGAAAGGATGCAAGTTGATGGTCCATGTGGGACTTGACTTTATCACCATCGTCCATGCAGTTCAGGGTCAATACATTGAGTACCACATTGTGAGAAGCCGTAAGAAGTTGTTTTTTGGACAGAACTACCACAAGAGGAATGTACACCACTGGTTCAACGCCGCTAGGTGGCTTGTTTAATCAGGGAGATTTAAAGTTATTTACTTAATCCACAACGGTAAAACAAGCCATGATGCCAAACAGAACACGAATATCTTTTATATGACCGAGAACCAATTGCTGATGTTTTTGCAAGGCCCTGTTACAGGTTCGCAATTGTGGGTACCAAATGGAGGCGCCGCAAGGGATGTGGTCATGTCTGCACAGCGGTGGAACGAAGTCTCCTGCCATCAAGGAAGGGCACTGTTCCTGTATCACATCTTCAATTGAAAACTCGCCGATTTAGAACTGCCTTTTTGTGTTTAGTTTCTTGATTGGCACGGCTGGCTACGTACGATGTGAAAGAAGTTCAACATACGTATGTACATACTTTCAATCACCCGCTCCCCCTTAACCCAGCTCCAGCCTGGCTTAGTGCAGCGATTGACCTCCAATCTCTCAACACCTAATCCATCACTTCATAACACCTCCCAGTGCATATGTTGAGTGCTGTTGTCTCAGTTAAACAGGTAGGCACCATTGCTTTCCCCCCCCCCCCCACTAATCCCCATTTTCCATTTTTTACGTTTGCACCACTGAACAGTGCTCCGTAAATGTAATGCTGACATGTGCGTAAGTGCCGAAAGCGAGTTTAGCAGTGACGAAAAGTTAGTTCCTTCAACTCGGGTCACATGGTGCAGTTTTCAGCAAAAGCCAAGCAATCCGGTACGTGGCGGACCTTACTAGGGGGCCTACGAAGACGTCCTTTGTCTCGGCGAAGTTGACTTGCCTGTGCGCAGTGAGTAACATACAGCTCTCTCTGTACAGCACAAGGTGATGCTCATGGGAAGATGTTGCCCGACTCAAACCTTCAAAGGTTCACTTCTGCAAAGAGTAATTTTTTTTTTACTTGGCTTCCCCTTTAATTCTTTGGCAAAATTCAACTTCGGTCTATCGAGAAGCAACGTATCTAATATCAAAGCCATGATGATAATTGAGATGCACAGTGGCTGTGACCAGTCCCTGGCACAACCAATACGAAGGGTTTAAAGGCCAAGCATGCAAGGAAGCTGGTTGGTGGCTAACTATTAAACCTGACAGAAAACCAGCGTTTTCTGCAGCCGAATATCACAGCATAACATGGATTATATTCAGAGGGGTTGCATTGCAGAGAACACTCAACTTAACACACTGGGTTTGACTTGGCCCATCATCTCACTAGAGTCCAAAACAATTAGTAGCACTGTGATGACTCAACAGTGGCTATCCTATGCATAGACTGGCCTCCCACTCAGAAAATGTTTAAATCCCTACAACTCTCTGGTAGCTGTTAACAATGGAACGAGGTCCATCCCATGCTCCTTGGGGTGGAGACACGCCTAGACTTTGACTCATCCGCACAGCAGAGCAAGGTGGGGGGGTAAGTCTGTCGTGAACTTCCGCACCAAGCACAGGACGAAAACCCTGCGACAGACCCACAAGTGCGCGTCTCCCGTAACCACGGCACTGATGATGTGCCCCCCCCCCCCACCAAGTCTGTCCCCCCCCACTCCCCGCCCCCCCCCCCCCAATAGGTGTCACTCAGGGAATGCGGAGGGGGTGGCCAGGGGACGTGCACTCAGTGCTGGGTCCACTGGATGCTCTTGAGGTCGATGCCGTCTTGAACCATCTCCCACAGGGGGCTGGGAACAACAGACCACACATAACTGTTTATACACGGATGGATTGTGCCCGCATATCTGCATTTATAAAAGTTACACCCAGCAGAGTAGGGCCGTGGTTTTATGGCAAGGTTAAAATTAATCGCCGAACATTTAGACCGCAAGCTCTGCAAGACACTGCGCTACAATGTGTCGTTAAACCCGCCACCACCCGACACAGCCAGCTCCTGACTAGGCCAGCACACCCGTGTATTGGACAGTGAACCCACAACATTCACAATTATAGTAACGTCGTTTCGCCGGTAGTTACAACCAGCCTCATCAGGCGACAGCCAGATTATGGACAATATTGGTGGCAAAAGCCTACGTGTTGAACTGTGCTACAATCTTGGCGACGGGAGGTCACTGCACAAGCCGTATCCAAATCTGTCCTCGGCCCGCTCTGCATTGACAGCCTCAAGTGAGTATTTGGTGCTGCGTGTAAACATCAGCGACGGGGGATAGAAAGGTGGAGTGTGCATGGTGCACGACTCCCTTGCGTGGCATGCTGGTCTCAACAAGTACGTGTTAGCAGCACTCGCCCCTACCGCACAAACACCCGCATCTTAGACTTGCAGATTACGACAGGAAGTGCCGTTATGTATGATGAACTTCGCACCGTACAGACCCAATTGTGCTAATCGGTGGTGCTCAATGAACGGTGAGCACCTACTGAGGCCAGCATGGCATGCGAGACAGTGGTGCTACTCACATTACTCCCAAGACACTTGTCTGCCGTCTGTACCAGGTACTCGTTTAATGTTGAGACACCCCCAAGCGCGGCCTGGGACATGTTCAGAAGCCACTTTCCACTGATGAGGCGCACGGTCGGGACTTGGTTGGGACTTGCAGTGCAGTGCGAGAACCTCCGTACCACCACTCCGCTCACTCGCACAAACAGAAAGGCCCGTGTGTGTGCGCGCGCAGAGCGGCTGCTCACCTCATCTCGCGCAGACGGTGAACGTGATGAATGCACTTTTCCACCGTATAGTCCACTTCCTGCTTCGTGGTGAATCGCCCGATGCCGAACCTGTCGCACGATCAGAGAATGGTGAGGGGGGGGGGGGGGGAGACGATGGCATTCCAACGGCAGAGCACGCAGCACGGCACTGCACCTCTGTGAGACTGCCTCGGCCGTGTGCTCAACGAACAATCCGTCTTGGCTGGCACAACACCACACTTATAGCACGATGGGCCCTTTCACAGTCATTTGTTGCATGGTGAGAGACCATTAAAAGCCACTGCACAGGACAATGTTAGGAGAATGTTTCGAGAAGGATTCAAATTATTTAAAGTCCAGCGTGAGACGATTCGGGCAATGCTGAAGGAGAGGGGGAAGAAGCAGCAGAGAGCGGGGCGAGTGTGGGGTGCCTTGGTGTGGGCGTGTGTGCAAGTAGGACGGCACCTTTGATTTAAGTAGCGCAATCAAAACTACGCAAAATTACAACTTATTTAAGTCGCAAAACTACGAGAGTAAATCAATATAAACTAAGACACCAATGAACACCACGAACAATTAAAAAAAAGCCAAAAATAACGTAAACGTGATAAGTCAAACGGTTGATAATTTTTGATAGTCACTGGAATAAATGAGAATAAGTTTCATTTTCTGGTGGGAGCAAAGAAATTGAGAGAGAATCTCAGGAGCGCTGGTCCAGTGACATCACAAGTGTTCAGGGTGCAGCATTAGCCACTCTGATCGCCCCTGGGACCTCAGCCCAGGCTGAACTGGGCACGATGCCGCACGTCTGCCTGTTGAACTTCTTTCGCATGGTACGTAGCCAACCGTGCTAATCGGAGATGCGGGGTAAATAAAACAAACTAAACACAAAAAGCAGTTCTAAAGCAATGAGTTTTTAATCTAGATGATAATTTAAAAGTGCATAGCTGCAGTGGTTTCCTAACTTCGGAAGAGCGTTCCAGATGGCCGCAGAAGCGTATCTGAAAGCGCGCGGTGCGGTGACACAAGTCTTTGTTCGATGACGAGACAAAAGCGAGGATGACATAAGTTGGCGTGATGACGGTTTATGCCGCTTGACGAGATCAGCAAGGTATTGCGGTTCACTTGCGCCAAACATTTTGTGCATACGAGTGCGAAACTTAGAATTGAAGAAGTGGTGGTGGCACGGGAGGGGGCTCACCTGATGGAGGAGTGAGCCAAGTCCTCGTCAGTGCCGATGGCTCGCAGCACGTAGGAGGGCTCGAGCGACGCGGACGTGCAAGCGCTGCGCAAAACGCGTCGACCGCATTAACACGCGGGGGGGGGGGGGGGTCAAGAGTCAATGGGTGGCACCGCAATCACCGAGCACGACACGGCAGCGAGACCACGTGGTCACCTCCCCTCCCCGCGGGTGCCGCAGTGGCGAGATGTTAACTACCTCGCCTGGTATACAGCAGGCCGTGGGTTCGATACGGACCCCGACGCCTGCTGTATATTTGGAGTTTGCGTGTTCTCTCTCACCACGGTGATGTGGATTTTTCTCCGGGTTCTCCGGTTTTTCCCTCCATATTTAAAATCAACGTGCATTTATGGGTATTTGGTCGCTATACATTGTTCACGTGATAAACCACTTCGCTGAGCAGTCGCTTCTGAAACAGAGCTGTATAGCTCAGTGGGCTTTACCTGGCAAACTAAAAAATAGTTTCGCTTTTTTCACAGTCCACCATCTCTCTGGGGTCAATTAAATCGGCGCTTGTTTTGTGCCAAGTCAACAGCAAGATTGTCCACACTCGCTAGAACATCAATCTCGCTGCAATATCAGTACAACACATCAATCACGTTTCAATGTTATTTTTTTGCAATTGGCTTTAACTTATTAATATTACATTCTGAAATGTAAAGAAAAACTCGAAAATTATATTTTACAACTGTAATTTTTGCTTGTTTTTTTATATAAAGTTGCTTCAGTTGTACACTGCATCTCAACTGAAGGGTTATGTGGCATCTTTCGAAGCTCACCGCATTGTTCCTCCAGTAATATAGCAATGTGGAATTCCCACCACTGCCTCAGAACCAACAATGTAAATGAGCATCACACCCCAAGCTCGTTAACGTAAGGCGAGTCTTCGATCATAAACTTGACTATGAAGGACTACAGAACATAATAAAAAAAACAAGTCTCTTGCAGTTAAATAAAATGTAACATCGTATGAATCTATATCCACTAAAACAAAATACTGAGCGCCAGTGGTGGACACACACACACACCAGTGGACAGTGACTTCTGTACTTACAAACATTTGACTTATGAACTTTCAGAGACACGAACAAACCTGTCTCTGTCCAGTTGCCTGTTCAGACTGAGAGTCGGAGGTTCAACCACTGCGCAATAGATGGCGGTGGTGACATCTACATCTGCAAAACGTGAAGAACCAGTGGCATCTACGTCTACAGGAGATTAAACAACTTTTAAAGCCATTCCCCGTGTTTAGTGTACATGCCATACAACATGTTTGGAATCGACAGGAGCAAAGTTGGACTAACGAACAAATCGAATTACGAACAGTACCCTCTGGAACCTAACTCGTTCGTAAGTAGAGGAGGCCCTGTACATGGACACAAACACGAGTGTACATATACAGAAGTTTGTTGTCATTCCCCTGCACCTCCGATTAACACGGTTGGCTACGTATGGTGCGAAGAGAAGTTCAACATACATATATTCCAAATTCCGAAGCGGAGGGCCAGTCTCTGCAGAGCACAACCACTGCCGACTCGCCACAATGTGGTACGACCGACCAATCGTGTCCCAGAATGGTTATTGGCCAAATTGACCACTGAGCATATTTTGAGTAAACAACCTTCTCATCAAATTTCGATTTAAAGCTTTCGTGACTGCAGGGATTCATATTGTTGGTTCTTTCAGTAAAGTCACGTGACTTTATCGAAAGAACCAAGAATATATAACCTTCTCATAGTCGAGTTGATCACTCTTGCAACACCGACACCCAACCAGATGGAGAATGAGTGAAATTGATAGTGTGTGTGTTTGTGCGTGCGAGAAATTTGAAAGCATTTACCTTCCCGAGGACAAAGCTACATCCTTCAGAGCCATGAGAAGAGATTCACCCTCCACGTACGCAAACGACAGATTAATACAACCTAGGGGATACAAACAACAGCCGCATGCGCTTGTGTACACACACAAACAATAATTCTGCATCAACTCGTACGACGCAATTATTTATCTGTTTCACCAAGACAACCCTGACTCCGTCTTAAGACTATATTTTACATGAAGCTTCATCAACATTGAATGTTTGGCTACATAGTTGAGCTATATCATGTGTGGCCAGGTCACTTCTGAAAATAGGTGAATACCTCAGTGGGCTTTGCCGGGTAGAATGTGGATGGTTTAGTGTTATCTGTGTGTTTTTGGGTGATTTGTTTACCTTTCTTGTACTTTGCACTACGATTGTGTTTTTGTACTGTTTGTTGATGTAATGTTCATACCCACCCCGACTGGACATCTGTGAAAAAGAGCTTTATAGCTCATCGGATTCTTCCTGCATAAATAAATATATTCTGATTCTGAAATCATGCCTGGTTAGTTGTTTGCATGAAGAAGCAAACATGTTGCCTAAAGAAAACTCACCACGCATACCAGGGAATAACATTTAAACACAGCTGTCTGAAGAACACCTCTGTTAGCAACCTACTTGCTGTACTGTTTACTAAAAAGAACCCTTCATTGTGCTGCCAGAGGGTATACTACACACGATGTCCCCGTCTTGACGTCATCCACTCACCCTGCCTGCACGTGTGCACGTCACAGCTCACACAGACGAACCCTTGACGATACGTGAACACAACCATAACACACTGGTCAACGTGCACGAATGCTGCATTGAGTGCCTCTGTCAATTTAGCTAAACGATGTACAAACACCAACCCTTACCCAAACCCTCATACAGCCCTGATCCAAACCCCACTCTAATACAAACATTAGCCCGAATCCAAATCCCAATCCTAATACAAACACTTGCCCTAATCCTAACCCAAATCCTAACCCAAACTCCATCCCACACTAACACTCTTCACAGTAACTCTCTCTCGCTCTTTACCTGTAATTCTACCACAAACACTAACCCCCCTACATTAGCCATAATCCTTCCCCATCACTAACATCTCCCTCACACCTAACGTTATTGTGACACTAACCCCCATCCTTTCCCGAAACACAAACCTACGTGAATTCTCATCTCAATTCTCCCATAAATCTACTGTGGCCATACAACCCAAACTCTGGACCATATAGTAAACTCTGGTCTGCGCTGCTTCAACAAAGGCAGGGCTGGGGAACGTCCGGCCCGCGGGCCATATGAGGCCCGCGAAATCATTTGGTGTGGCCCTGCCAAGGCAACCGCAGGCGGGACTCGAAATTCAATAAATCTAGGAGCAAACCTGGAAAAGCAGTTGCGAGTAGCAACATCATCAATACCAGCTAACATCACACGCCTCACCAAAAAGAAGCAGTTCCAGCCATCACATTAGAGGTATGTTCATTAAATGTTTGACCAAATATAACGGGCTAATTTTTAAGTTGATAATTTTGTATGGCCCGCGAATGATGTTAGAAATATCCAAATGGCCCTTGGCAGAAAAAACGTTCCCCACCCCTGAACTAAGGAGTGGTAAAACTACACCAACTCACTCCTGAAGCCCTCTCATAGCTAGCAGACCTCGACCTGTGGAATATAGCTCACGAACATATTGACGTTATATGCAAGAATAAAAACCCATAAACACAACCAAACCCTAAAACGAATTCTAATACTGTCCTAACCCTGACCTAGCACTAAGACTAACCCCTCATACTAACCGCTCACACTAACCCGATCTCTAACAATAATCATCACCTTACCCCGGCCCTACCCGAGTGCCAAGCCCTGCAAACCCATAGCCCGTAGGAAGCTGGGGCTTACCGTGGTACCTCTGCTCAGCGTCCCCGTTCATGATGACGTCCTTGAGCTCACCCATGAGCCTCTGGACGAGCCGATGAGACAGAGCCTCGATTCGCTTGTTGTCGTACTGACGGGGGGAGGGGGTGGTGGAAGAGGGAGCGGGCCCCGAGTCAAACTCTTCCCACACCGGGCGCACTACTGGTGGGTGAGCGTTGTTAGCGAGCACCTATTAAGGCCAATACGCATGGCATGAGCGGATGGTGTGGCTAGAACTTTATTTCCTGGATACTGATATTGACTATATCACAACCCTTTGTTTGCTCAACTTCTTTCGCATCATACATAGCAAACTGTGCTAATAGGAGGTGCGGGGAGAAGGACAACAAACTTAACACAATCAAATATTTAAAAATACTTTTTTTTTAAAACACGCTTTAATGAAATATACTGTCCGAGCTGCCCCTCCCCCTTAGCCCATCGCCCCTCCCCTCCTTCCACATCCCCCGCCCCTGGGCGTGGCTCCCCGAGGCTTGCCGTGCCGCAAGGGACCACGTGGTGATTTACAGGCAACGTCAGTTGAGCGTGGACAATTAGAGCCGTTAAAAAGATTGTTTAAAAAATTAATATAATTTTTAATGATAGAATATAGTATTGTCATCAGTATGATACACCTATACCAAGTTTGCAGTCGATAGCACATTGGGAAGTGTGTAAAAATTGAGTTACAAGATTAGTTTTTTATGGATACAACAGACGAAGTGAGTTAAATAAAAGCGTGTAAAAAAGCTGTTCTAAAGAAATGAGTTTAACATTTTTATCTCAAGATGACTTGGGGGAGGCGCCAGGATAGGTCAGAATCACAGTTTTTACTGCTGTAATGCGTCATGGCTAGGGACACTAATCATACAAATATTAGTTTTTTTTTATTTAGCCATAAAACCTCATGGCCACAAGAGTTGATTTCAAGAGGCAAGTAAAATAGGTCAAGGGACACTTTTAATCCCTGAAATTAAATCTTAATCCAATGACCTGTGAGCACCCAGATAAACTGTTCCCAAAGGCAAGATAAAGCCAATCAAATGTTTGAGCTGTAATGAGAATAGGGTAGCGCTTACTACTCCAATGGAAGCTCAGAACCAACCTTGGAATATCCACATTCGTATGATGAAGGCCAGGCTAAGCACTGCATAAGACACTTGCCGATGACTTCTGACAAAGGTGGTACTTACTTTGTCAGCCGATAACCAACCAAATGTTGAACTCGCACCACAACACTAATCAATCTCTGCTGCACGGACCAGTCGACAGCCTATTTGCTGTACCGCCTACGATTAGCTGCTGCCGAGTATCCCGATCTCTCATCAAGGAGCATAAACCATCACGCAAACTCTGGTCATTCTCGCAGCGGTTTCTGGCTAACCACCGAACACTGCATCGCGCGCTTTCAGATGCGTTTCTGCGGCCGTCTGAAACGCTTTTCCCTCCGAAATTAAGAAGCCACTGGAGCTTTGCCCTTTTAAATCATCTAGATCGAAAACTTATTTCTTTAGTACTGCTTTTTTTTCTTAGTTTGTAGTCCTTCCCCTGCACCTCCGATTCGCAAGGTTGGCTCCGTACGGTGTGAAAGACGTTCAACGTACGTACATAACACCAACGCCGTAAGGAAATGGCGAAGGATTGGGGAGTATGGTCGGGGGGGGGGGGGGGTGGGGCGGGGGAGTGAGCAGGGGGGCTGCGTCGCTCACCTCCATCTCGTACAGCGCGACGTCGCACGCCGCCCCGAGCCCCACCACGAGCGGCGTGGGCACGGTGCCCGAGCGCAGCCCCCGCTCCTGGCCCCCACCGCTCTGCAGGGACTCGACGCGCACACGCGGGCGGCGACGCACATAGATGGCCCCAACGCCTACGCACACACAGACAAAGATCCCCCGTATAGCCTCGGCAAACTCTTGGGGCGAGTGCTGTTAACAAAACAAAAAACCTTCATCGTGTGTTTATTTGTGTATGCTGTTGCAACGTTCTGACCCGCCCCGGCTGGACATCTGTGAAAAAGAGCTTAATAGCGCTCATCGAATGTCTCCGGCATAAATAAATATGCTGATCCTGTTAGCAAGTGGCAGCTATCTTCTTCTTTCGTCTGGTTCACGAAAATGCAGAGCAACAACGACAATTTCACTTTCAGGAGGTCAAGCCAGATATCTGAGTCAGGAGCAGCGGAGTGTATTGCTGCGATGTCTTCTTCGTCTTTGTGGATCAGTGGCACCTCTGAAAGTCCGGCACGGCACACAAGTGGGTGTTTGGTGGGGGCCAGCACCAAGCCCGTCTGCCTTGTTCTCGCAAGTGGCGATGTTTACACACCGCACTGGGTACTTGTTTGAGGTCGAGTCGACCTTGGGGGAAGGCCAGGATTGGTTCAGATCATCGTCACCGGTGTTGGCCGTGAGCGGGAGCAGAACTCTGGTCGCCGGGTTCGTAGCGCGGCGCGCTAACCGGTGAACTACCGCTTCCCATGATACAATTGAGCCAGAGGCAAACACGCAATTCCCACCACCTTTGACATGAATCATAACAATACACAAAGTGCACCGATTGACAAATGCACCTTCACCCCTCTGAACTCCAGGCACACTTAAGAGCGGCACGTCCGCGTGCAATCGCGACCTTTGGGACCGTAAATCTTGTGTCCGCTGATGGACATGAGGTCGATCTTCATGTCGTTGACGTCGATGGGGATCTTGCCGATGGCCTGTGCTGCGTCCGTGTGGAAGAACACCTTGTGCTGGCGGCACAACTCTCCTGTGGGGGGGGGGTGATGGTGGTGGGAAATGCCAGGAACGGGGCAACCAGTCGGCCAGCAAACGCACCGCCAGGGCAAAAACCGATAACTCGCACAGGTAACAATCCACAGTCCGTATGGTGATTTTACAGTGGCTAGAAACAGCACAGATGCTAACTGGCCTATGGTGTAGGATTTCGTCACTTCTGTCATGCGGAATGTATCAGGGTTTTCGCGATATGGCGATACTACAATATATCGTACAATATAAGATCCAGGATAACCATATCAACCACGTGTAAAATATCATTATATCGTGACTTTCATCGTTCATTTATTTTTTTCTACTTACTATATATGATAGCAAAGTGTTCAATGGATTATTTAGTAATGCTGTGCAACTGACAAACATGTGCATTATAACCATTATAGACTGTATTCATGTTCTTGGTTCTTTCGGTAAAGTCACGTAGAAGGGAAATAATAAAATAATAACAATAAAACAATAAAATTCTCACGACGTTTCGATTGCAATCGTGAGAATGTAATTGTTTTATTTGTATTATTTTATTATTTCCCTTCTACGTGACTTTACCGAAAGAACCAAGAATATGAATCCCTGCAGTCACGAAAGCTTTAAATCATTATAAACTGAATGATTATAATGACTCGCGGCAGGCGAATGTTGATTGAACAGCAGTCGAGGAACGCATAAGTAATCTTAATGCGCACTGGAAGTACGGCAAAGCACAAATCAGCAGAAGCGTGAAATATAACTACAAAGTTATAGGAAAATAAATATTGTGACAGCACTCCTAAGGAGCATTGACCGAAGTTAGTACTTGAGTGTAAGATTGCCTAGGAACAGCAGGTGTTGTAGGATTGGGCTGCATGGTGGGCAGGAGATGGAAGCACGGCAAACGGGATCTTGAATCCGTGTGCAGTGTAGAGTGTTGCCCCCTTCGTGTGCGTGGGTTTTCTCCGGCTTCTCCCACATGCCAAACACTCACTACATGGAATTGGTCAATAATGTTAATGCAGAGGCCTCCTGAGACAGGAGTATTTGGACTCATTCTGGCTTTCCTAGCAAATTAAAAGGGACTTATTATAAATAAAACTCAAAGAATATACAAGCTCAACAGCCAGTAGTCGAAATTCTACATTCCTACAGCACGCATCAGTATTTCTAGAAGACAACCAAACCTTGCTTATCTGCAACGTAACTCTACAGTTATGTAACTGCATAGTGATGTGGTTGCATGACTGCACAGTGTTGTAATAACAACAGAGTGATTGTAAGTGTCTCGGTCTCAAGATTGTTTTTGGAAGGGCCATGCTTCGGATGTTTAGTTAATTCTTTCCTGTGTAATTTTGCCAATGAGACAAACCAGATTCCACGGCGAAATAACCCCACGCATATTAAAAGAAGACTGATAATACTGGACAAGCAGGTAGCAAAAAGGTAACTCTCTCGTTGCAACAGAAGTTGAAATTCTCAAGACTGAATTCAGTTGTTCATCTTACACGGGGTGCTTCATTGGCAAGGCCCGCGGGCCACTGGCGGCCCCTGGTGGCCTTCAGTGCGGCCCCTGGCGTGCGGCCCCCCCGACAATACACAACACCTGACAATATCCCTTGCAGACGGTGGCGGCCTTCATACAGATGTCATCCTATTGGCGAAAGTGGACCCCTCTGAAAATGAGTGAAGAACACTGCTTAAGATGCTATAATAATATATTTATATATAAATATACCCAGGAAAGCCATACTGCATCATAGGACTCTTTTTCAGGAGGGATCCTGCATTGGATTTTTATTTTAAGACGTTTTCAGCCAATGAAATTAGCCTGATGACGACCGCTTGTGTTGCGATCGAAAAGTCGTGATTTGTTTCATTTTATTTCTAACTACGTGACTTTACCGAAAGAACCAAAGAGTAGTGAAATCAGTATTTTTTGCCAAGGGCCCCTGGACGCAAAACACTTTTTTTATAATATAAAAAGGCGGGCTAGAAATGTGTTTAGGAGAGATGATACAACAGATGTATTTCGGACAGTGAAATATGATCGAAATATGTAGCGAGAGGAGAGATAGCAGATGTAGGATAAATATTAAATGAGAAGAGACATGAGAGACGGACGAGAGAAAGTTGCACAAATAAAAACACGTTTCCAGCACTTCGATGAGGTGAGACAACTCCATCAACTGCAGTCCTCACTCCAAGCCCAACCAACTTGACACCCACAAGCCCGCATACTGATCCAGATGACTCGTTTAATCATTCCACGTTAGTGGCAAATATCAAGGATTATTATTTTTATTTGAAAGCCACGGTGGCGCGTCGTGTACCGTGTGGCAGGCTCGATTGGGACACAGTTAATGCAGCCTTAGCGTAAGAGAACACCTTGTGCGTGGTATGTGTCAAGTGTGGGGTGTGTGGTACGCAATGTGTGGCATGTGCTGCGTGACGTGTGGTATGCGTAGAGCGTGGGGCGTGTGTTGTTCGTGGTGTGTGTGTGTACATACTGTTTATAATGTGCACTGTGTGTAGTTTGCGTGTGCACCGTGCGGGGTGTGTAGTGTACACTGTGTGTTATGCAGACAGTGGCGTGTTGTGTACCGTGTGGGGTGTGCAGTGTGCGTGTCCCGCGTGCCGCGTGGACTGCGGCGCTGTGTGACAAACACTCACCAATTTCCCCGATAGGTTGCTTCACCCCGATCTCGTTATTCACGGCCATCACAGACACCAGGCACGTGTCCGGGCGCAGCGCCGTCTCCAGTTCCTGTCACGGGCCGACAGACACAGAGCAGCACTTAACCATCGGCAGGGCTTCAAGCCTCGTTCAGCCATCAGCAGGCTCATTAAGTCTTGTCGAATGCTCTGTGGTGAGCTAGAAAGATCTTGCTTGGCGGTCAGTTTTAACGAGATTCGCTTAAGAATCGGCAGTGCAGCAAACGTCACGTAAAGGTCATCAGTGTGATGAGCCTCACTTAATCTTGAGCAGATCATGTAACCCTGAGTAATGCTTCATTAGCCTGAGGGCGGTGGTGTGCTCCAGCGCTAAACTCAATCAAAATATGGCGAGTTCGCGATCAACTCGCAATTGGGGTGGTCGACACAGCCTATTACCCCCCTTTGGGGTTGACAAAATGAACAACACTCTGTGGAAAGTCGACAGCGGGATTGTGCTATGGACAGACTGCCCCCTGCCATATGAATGGTGATTTTTTTTCTGTTACTTCTGGCTTAAGGCCACAGGGATGAGCACCGATCTGTGCGGAGCTCCGTTTGAGCAGCGAGACCCAATTTGTTCTTTTTTTTACAAATTCCATTAATCTACATTGATTTACACTCAAATGTGGGACAAGTGTTTTAAAACTGCTGCCACGTGACAAACTACACTCGTGAATGGCACCACGTGATCTTTAGCAATCAGTGATGTCAATTTGAGCCACGAAAGAAAACACATTTGGGAATCATTTACACATCTTATCAAAATGAGAAATGTTCGTTGTTTGCTGTTACAGGGAAATCCAAACTGCCCATAGCATGGATATGGTTGTGGGGGTATTTTTCAAAATAAACTGTGTTGCAATCCTGCACATGTGTACTCAAGCCCTGTGATGTTATCGAGGGATCAATTATTAAAGGCAGCATTTGACCAGTTTAGCTCGGGGGATGTTTTTGGGTTGTGGGTACAAGTCATGGTCATCATGTCCTTACTACACGGCTCACAAAAGTCATTGTGACGCCGTGGTTCTGAATTACACACTTTACGTGCATTTAACTAATACACATCATTAAAGTATGCCCATTGGCTAGTGTACTGCATTACGAACCCGGAAACCTGAGTTCGATTCACGTCCATGTCTAGCATTCTTGGACAGTGATATTTGAACCATTCCTGGAAATCCCCCCTTCACCAACATGCACCAACCAACTTGTTGAAATATGGTGGCGATAATAATACGCTCCTGTTGCCACTGCTGCTGACAATTATATGTATGCTACTACTACTGCTGATGATGGTGCTGATACTGATGTTATTGTTTCTGCTCCTGGTACTGCTTAGAATGATAATCGTGACCACAATACAACTACTGTTGCTACTACTTCTATTGTTACTGCTGCAGGTGCTGCTGCTGATGATAATGCACGAACTAAAACTCAACTTTTTACTTTACCAAGTAAGGCCCACTGAGCTATATAGCTGTTTTTGAGAAGTGACCTGGCCACAAATCATAAGCTCAATAAAGTGGCTTATCACGTGGAAATGTATCGCAGCCAAATACTCTAAAAGCATGCTTCTAAATGTGGAGAGAAAAAACCAGAGGACCCGGAGAAAAATCCACATGACCACGGGGAGAGAAAGAGGCACGCAAACTCCAAATATACAGGTGTCATGGTCGAGATCGAACCCACGACCTCCTACATACCAGGCAAGGGAGGGAGGTAATCATACCCGTGGTTAAATCACAAGCCTGCGTGCTTATATTAGGTTTTAGAATTGTGTTCGTTATTTACTTGCTTGCTTTTAGTTCTGTGCGGCGCCCTGCGGCCTCTGGGTGAAACGTGCCAAGTGTAAATTATTATTATTATAACATCTTGCCACCGTGGTACGTGCTGCCTGCTGCTCTCCCCGGCCGAGCGAGCACCTTCATGTCGACGAGGCCGTTGCTCTGCACGGGGAGGTAGGTCACCTCGAAGCCCTCGGCCTCGAGTGCGCGACACGAGTCCAGCACACACTTGTGCTCCGTCTGCGTCGTCAACACGTGCCGCTTGCGCTGCTTGTAGAACCGCGCCACTCCCTGCCGCACACACGCAGGTACCAAGTAGGTGCACGCGTGTGTAAGGCAGAGACAAGACAATGTCCATCACAGAGGTTTTTGGGTTAGATCGCGTAAATATAAGTGTTGTTAAACACGCCACCACCCGACACAGCCAATTAGTAAGGTTTGCCAAGTAAACACCCGTGTCTTGGAGAGTAAACCCACAAATCTTGCGGGAATAATCTCCAACACACCAGTGTGCTGAACTAAACAAATTGACATGTTTTATTTACGTGACAAACCTTAGTATAGTTGACCCACGACTTACGACGGCTCGACTTGCAACCCCCCGCTTTACGACCTTTCTTATAGCAATTAAGACCCCCCCAGTAACGACCAAAACACGTATCTACAATCGCCTAACGACTGCTACCGACGCCGAGTTGATTGGCGACGAGTCTGCGCACATCATGTGCAGACTCGTCGCCAGATTGGGCTGCTTTGCTCTTCTGCCGTATGCGTATGTACAGTATAGCCCGACAGTCCGAGGCTGCCTTTCGCTACGTCCGAGAAGAGGAAATGTAATGCACGTGCAGAAAAGTACTTAAGAATGTTCAAATGTGTTGGTTTTTACTTAATAAATGTTTGTGGAGGTTAAATATTTTTTGGGGGTATTTTCATTTATTTTCGTGGTCAATAATGGTATTTTTACGGTACGTAACGGGTTTCCGGGAACGGAACCCCAATGTATAACATTGTGCCCTATGGGAAACGAGGGTTCCACTTATGATGGCCTCGACTTGCGACCGTCGTATAGGAACCAATTAGGTCAAAGGTGCAGGGGTTGCCTGTAATTAGTAGTTGTATCAGGTGGTGGCGGGTTCAACGACACATTTATATTTACGCGATCTCACCCAAAAACCTCTATTATGGATATTGGTTATGAAAGCCTCCGTGCTAAACAAGACAATGTGCAATGTGACATCATATCCTGCTCAATGTGCCGGCCCTGGGCTTGTGCTCATCACACCAGAGCTGATACGGGTAATGCCCTCTGATTACCCAAATCTACTCTCGTGTTGCCACATTTACCATTAAAAAGTCTCACGATTTCATATATATAATAAATAAATACAAATAACGAACCTTGCCCAGATGATCATTTACTTCTGGCTAGGTAAAAAAGGACAATGTAAAGAAATCTAAACCTATACGGTATTTTTAAAAATGTTAATATTGTCAAAAGAATTATCGACTGCAATCTCCGATGAGCACGGTTGACTCTGTATGGTGAAAACGAAGCTCAACATACACACAAACATACCTTCACGGCGATGTTGTTGGACTCGGTGGCTCCGCTGGTGAATATGATCTCGCGAGGATCGGCTCCGATCAGCGTCGCAACTTGCTGCACGGTGAGCGCAACAACAACAACAAAGCAGAGAGGGGTGTGGTCGATGAAACCCTCGTGGCAGTTTCGCTTCACGAGTGCCTTTAGCAAATCGCACGGCGCCATCACACCGAGCACACGCGAGCGATGCTGTCAGCGCGCAACAACGGAGGTGGGGGGGGAGAAGAGGCGGGAGTCGAACCTGCCGCGCTTTCTCGACGGCCGCCTCGCTCTCCCAGCCGTAGGCGTGCGTGCGCGAGTGCGGGTTGCCGTAGTTGCTGAGCATGTGCGGCATCATGGCGTCCATCACACGCGGGTCCTGTAAAAAACGCGCACGGGCACACGGGACGCGCGCACAGGTAAGAGCTTGGGCCGTGGCGACAACGCACCGGGGGGGTCTGCTCGGTCGGCTGTGGTGGCACACGCCTGCAAAGCAGCGCTTGGGAAATGCAAGGTTAGTGGGTAGCGCAGAATTCATGACCCTCTCAACCTGCAACTCTATGAGGTGGTAGTACAGAAATGTGTGCCGCTTAGCCACCCACGTGAGCATTTGGCGCGACAATGGCGGGATGTTAACTAACTCACCTGGTAAACAGGTCGTGGGTTCGAACCCGACCCTGACGCCTGCGGTATATTTAGAGTTTGCATGTTATCCCCGTGGTCTAGTGGATTTATATTGTGGGTACTCTAGTGTTCCCCTCCACATTAAGAAACGTGCGTTTCGAGTAACTGGATGCTATACATTTCCACATGAGCCACTTCGTTAAGCTATCATTTGTGGCTTCTGAAAAAGAGCTATACAACTCAGTGGGCCTTACCTGGTAAAATAAAAATAGTTTAGAGTTTGGGTATTTGAGCATTACGCCCTTGTACTTGGGTATTCTGGGACGGCTCTAGTCTTAGCCCCACATACAACTTACTTGCTAATTGGCCAAACATCTCAAGTACAGCATCTTGAAATTACTCGAGAATCGTTATTTGACAAAAAAAAAGCAACACTTTGATTGTTAAATAATGACTACACAGGGCATAGTATTGCATGCAAGAGTGGGTAGCAATCTCAGGCAAGCTGAAACGAAGTCGACTCAGAGGGCTGTAACATGTCGTAAAGAGAAGACGGGAAATGCGCATTGGAAGGAAGGCGATGAACGTGGAAGCACCAAGCTGGACACCCAAGAGGTGAACCAGAATATGAAGGACTGTGGAGTCGACGTGGACAAGGCCCAGGGCAGGAAGGAGTCGATGAAGACAACCGGGAACAAAGAGCACACATGAGTGAGAAAAATACCGGGAAGATAAAGTATACCAAAACTCTTGCCCATTTTGGGGGTTTGCGCTCTTGAAAGTAGCTGCAATCGGCAAATCCACGATCCCAAAACTCAGACAAATGGGAAATATAGGGTTTGGTTCACGATTCCTTTTGTTTTATGTTACCCTACATTAAACCAAACATGACACAGGAAGTATTTTTTACGTAACTTAAGATTCATATTGTCTAACAGTGCTAAATATAACTTGTACGGGAAATGTACAGAATGGAAAAAAATATAACGTAGTAATACAAATCGCGGGTGGCTGAATCTCACTGCCTTCCTCACTGGATGATGGGATCACGTGACCTGGGACCCACACGATGGGCTGGAGACGAGATGGAGACGAGACAGCGTGTGTATTCTTCCGCGGCAGCATCATCGCGAGCAGTGCAGTGAGAATTCCTGTACAGTGCTCTTTACGATGCACAGTGGACAGGAATCTCGAAGTCAACCGCGCCACAAGGGCACGATCTGTACCTCAATTAATTTGGCGCGAGTGGTGAAATCTGTGAAGGGAAAACCGTGATGGGCGAGGTTTTGGTGTATTCCATGCAGATTGACTCGGCAGCAAGCGTATACTGTATGTCTGAAAGAATCAGGTGTCAATGGGAATGGTGGATACCTTAAACTGCAGCAACGAATCCTTATACAAAATAAATACAAAGCTCAGCCATTTAGTCTAATAGACTGTAGGAGGCAATTGTCATTCGTGAGCACCTATTAACGCATGTGCTCAGCAACTGTAATTTAAAACCCCAAGTTTCCACAACACTCGTGGCGCAGTTTAAAAACCACTGCGCTGCCAAGAGCACAAACACGGGAACGCCAGAACACATTGTTTAAACTGTCAACGCACCAGTCAACTCTCCTCCAAGCAGCCCGAAGCCAGCCAACACTTGTTTTAGTGTTTAGTTTGTTCTCCTTCGCACTCACCTCCAATGAGCACGGTTGGCTACTTACCGTGCGAACGAAGTTCAACATACGTACACACATACCCAGTTCGCGCAATGCATCATGTATATCTCGCCGTGTTCTACCTGCAGGTTTAAGCCGTCATGAAAGTTTACGTGCAAATTATTGGACGATTCTGCATTGGCAGCGATGCAAAAACACAATGACCAAAATACTCTTCAATAATGAAAAAAAATGCTAAAATAAAGTCATTTGTATTCCAAGTGAAATAGTCAAATGTTGCTTGAACATTGTATCATGGGTGGCCGGTTGTGGCGAGGTCAATGGCAACTTAATTCACGTAATTCACTTAGTGATGCATTCCTGGGCCTGTCATTTCAATATGGGGGTACCATGGTCGTGAGAACTTATCTCCCTCATCTGGTGTGCAGCAAGTAGTTGGTTCGTTCCCGACCCCGACACACCTGTATTTGGCTGCTAGAAATCTCCACATATGCACCTTCGTTGAGCTATCATTTGTGGCCAGGTCGATTGTGAAAAAAACTGTTTAGCTCGGTGGGATTTACCTGGTACATAAAATAATAAACTTTTTAGTTTTGAATATGGTCAGAGAAGCTCTTCTTAACTAACTCTCTCTGATGTCTCTATGTATGTGCTATGAAGGGCCATTACCGAAAACATTACCTATCATATTTTTTTCCTTTTAAGGCCGTGGTGTCATTGACAAACGTGTTGCGTTGTCATTATGCAAGTGCAGTAGTTTTGGCTGTGGTCTCAGGTCTCCTATATTAACAGACTTCTTGTTTGGGCTGTTATGAAAGTACTGAATCGTTTCATTATGTAAGCACAGCTGCTTAGGTTTAGTGTATCCCGCTACAACATTAGGCCACACTTATTCACGTTCCTGACCTTCTCACATATCAATATTTGTAACAATGCAAAACATTGGGCGGTTCCCTTACGGTTGTGCCAGAGGACAGTGCTCTCGAATACGTTATGGACTCGACAGGTAGGATTTGTGTTGCAATAACCCCCAGAGTATCTGCCTTGCGAAGGTACACCTAAAAAATGCAATCGGGAATTACGTTCTTCCAACAGTCGTGGAATATTTTTTAGTCGTGGGTTTGGTGGTGAATGCCTGCAGTTTTATAGACGGTTTGTGGATCGAAGAGATAATTCATGTGCGACATTGATACGTTTTAGACGATGATCGCAGCACAGAAAGTAGGCTATTGATCTGTGTAGTATTTTTTTTGTTAGATGCATGGGTTTTCTGCAGACAGTTTGGTTTCCAACAACTTTAAAAACATCCAATCAGGCAAATATTACTGCCAAGGCCACGCCAGAAAGACAGTGTTGAGATTTGTTTGAGGGTTTCAGGCGAAGGACTTTTATTATCACTACCAGTGGCCACAATAGTTAATTCGCATTCACGTTATTGAATGGTGTTGGTGCTGAGCTAAGGCAATCACAATCCCTTGTGAGTTAGCAAAGCCACGTTGCAGGCTGTGAGGTGGAGGAAATGTCCAGCAGTCCTTGTGTATTGGCCCCAGTACACTGCAGTGTCAATGATTGAGAATGGCATTGCATCTCATTAACGTACCCTGGGGCACACACAAGGCAATGAGAAAAATGTGCTAGAAATTAATGTACAGTGTAACAGAGTAAACCAGGCACGGCAGACCGGTTGGCCTAGAAATGAGTCGTTTGGAGGGAATTAATTTACTTGTTTCCCCTAACACTCGTAAAACGTACTTTGCCAAACGTCCCATTCCAGAAGCCATCTGAAAAGGAGTTTTAGACTTTTGTATATTCCTGTACATTATGGGTGTAGCACTACATCGATTCAGTTTCAGTTCATTTTGAAGTACCCTGTGAGCTAAGAAGCCCTGAAGTCGGGTTTCATCAATTAAAAAAACACCGTTTCCTTGACGTACATAACAGAGAAAAAATTAATACAAATGAATAAAAAAGGTAAGAAATTATAGAATTTTAAATACAAAATTTTTCTTTAGAAAGTTTTGAGTGAAGAAATTCTAAAAAGTGCAAGATTAGCCGTAGAAAGTGCCAATTAAGATCAATTCATACACTCTGGATACAAGCATTGCATTGTGTTACTCTCTATTCGCATACCGTCTATGTACTAGGTTAACATGACCCCTATTTTCACTGGAGCAGGGGTTAGGTAACCTGCGGCTCCGAAGCCGCATGAGGTTCTTTAAGGACTTTAAGGACTGCTTCATGACGTTATTCGCAAAATATGGCTCGCTCTTCATGTCATTTTAGTTGCCGACCCCTGCGTTAGAGGCTGCTGCATTCACGTAAAGAAAAAAAACTGATGATCGAATCAAATTCCGACTCCAAATCCTGACAATGTACCAAACCATGACAAGGATGCATCGTTATAGACATTCTAATCATGCAAGGATTTAATTCTCATTAATCAGCAGACATTCTCGATTAACTGCTGGAGGTAGGCCTCTCCACATCACCACTATCCCTCAGTCTCGCAACAGTCATCTACAAGGGCATCTTTTTGCATTTGGCTGCCATTCCGTCACCAGTCTTATCTAACGGCTATCATCATTTCACGCAATGTGCCCTCCCCAAGCCCCTTTACTTATTGCAATAATCAATCTGATGTCAACATGGTTACTGGAAATGTATATATGCGAATGTATATTGGAAACGTGGAGTGGATTAATTTGTCACGTTGCCTTTGTTTTTTTTATATAGTGTCACAATGTAGACACGGACTGTACAGATTTTGTCACGCAAAAATCCCAATGCAGAGCGGGTGCCCCGTTCACCACCGAATCTCGGAACACGCAAGCGGTTCAGCATTAATTTTATTTAGAGAGGCGTAGCGCCGTTGTTTTTAAAGACATTGTACTCACCGCAGAGATCTGTAGCGACACGACTGCGCTCTAGGATCGCTGTGGCACCAAACTGTGCCACGTGCTCGTGGGAAACTCAGGTCGGAATTCGTAGCGATAGTTATTTTGATTTTAGGGTTTATGATGATGTACATGTACGTCATCATAAATAGTCATCGGAATGAGAAAGAGTTAATACAATGTACAGTATTATTCAGCATGTTCACCACAATGCCTTGGATCCAAACAGAAGGCAGTGCTCGCACGCACAGCGTAGTACACCGATGTGTAACTGATAGTGAAACCGCTATCACGCACCCTCCAATTACCTGCTCCATTATCCACACCCCCAGATAGATAAACAGACCTTTGCTCTTATCCCCACTGCTGCACCAGTAAGAGGAGCAACTTGGAGATCAGGGTAAATCAATGCTAATTATCCACACTTCCCCTACAGGTACGACACAACGCAAATTTAATTGTAATGGAATGGTCTCTCGAAAGATAATGGTCAGAAATACTTAATTTGTTTTATTGTATATGATGTAAAGAAGTCCTTTGTTAATACACCGATGGATAAATGGCTCCACACGCAGTGTTGGCTGTGGGCGTTGTTTGACCCTACGGCACCATGCTGGTCAGTGCAGGTTGGTGAAGATGGGTGCCCGGGACCGATCCAGACATCACTCGCCACCGATACTAACTGTGGCCAGACGTCAAGCTGGGGTCGTGATGTTCATCGCACGGCGAGCAAAACCACTGTGCCGTGGACCAATATAGTGTACTTTTAATGAAGTCTACGCCACAACGCTCCCACATTGTTACCTATTGGGCATGTAACAAATTCACCCATGTTTACACATTTATACGCAAAGCATGCATAAAGTCGTTAAATAATGTACGATGTATGATCATTGTATGCAAAGTTCCATTGATTCTAAGCCATGGATTCCTACAGTGGATAGATATACAGGACATGAATGTCCTGGGCAAACCTTTTTGCAATCCACTCATGACCAGCATAGCAAGATGTACATAAGTAGGCCTTCATCCAGCAATGGATTGATAAAGGGTTATATCTATATATTTTTTGAAAACGTTACCATTACACTAACGAAACTCACAAAGGAACAAGTCGAGAATGAAATCTAGATCCAGATCATATTTTACAATTCATCAAATAATTTTGGTGAAAATTATTACGTTCCTACATACTCAGGATGTGTTCTCGGTTTACATTATAAATTAAAGTGAAATTATTTTATTGAAAGTTATTTAATCTTGTGGATCAACAATTACGTTTATTGATAATAGAGTAAAACCTTGGATTGCAAGCATAATTCGTTCCGGAAACGTGTTTGTAATCCAAAGCACTCGTGTATCAGTTGTAATCACGTGACGCTCGGCAGACAAAGCGTATACACGTAGTACTCGTATTGCAAGACCTCACTCGTTCATAAAATTAATATTTATTTAAAAAAATTGCTCGTCTTGCAAAACACTCGCAGACCAAGTTACTCGCAATCCAAGGTTTTACTGTTCATTGAAATCTAAAAGCATGAAATAAACCCGAAATTCGGACTAAATATTCGAAAATCAGATATTCAAATAAAGGAAATCATAAACTTACTCCATCTCTATATCCTATGAGATATCTAAACTAGTCCAGAGTTGCTTGACTTGAATCAATGCTGCTGAAACCGTGCACTCCTAGAAGGCGGTGTCGCTGATGGGTTTTGTAAGATCTACTTTTTGTGATGATGGTTATGTAAAAGTATTCCCTCGTTATTCGGGAGGGATATGTTCCGGAGATGCTTGTGAATAGCAAATTTCGCAGATGACATTCAAATACCTTAAATACAAAAATAATACATCTCATCACCTTCTCTCTCATCTCTTTATCTCGTCACTTTCTCGCGTAACATTATCTCTCGTCACTTTCTCTCCCTCTCGATGCAGTAGTCGTGTAGAGTTCCAGACGCGATTCGCGGACGGACCAAACATCGCAGACAGCAAGTTGGTGAAAAAGCGAGGGAATACGGTGTACTTATATACCGTACTCCTATTGAGTCACTCTTGCGTGTGTGAATCACAGTGGAGTGGACCCCCAGGCTGTGCCGCCAGTCTCACCATGGGGGTAGTGGCCTGCACGTCCATGTAGAGCGGACGGAGTTCATCTGGTCCGGGAAGAACCTTGGCCTGTGTCACATCTGTGTACGACACGCACAAGAATAGGAAGGACGGAGTTGGAACGATACATTAACCAACAGTAACCTTGAAGAAGCTGGAAAGCCATCCCACGTTCAGATGAGGATTTTTCTCCCTGTTTGTGTCACAATATAAAAACAAATTTAGCCATGCGTTGTACCTTAAAACTAATCAAGTTTTATCTTCTTGGTTCTTTCGGTAAAGTCACGTAGAAGGGAAGTAATAAAAGAATAAAAATAAAACATAAAATTATTCTCACGACGTTTCGGCCACAACGCAATTCATTCAGACGCTGTCTCCCCGACAGACCTGGTCTTCACCTGAGGACGGCTGCTTGCGTTGTGGCCGAAACGTCGTGAGAATTATTTTATTATGTTTTATTTGTATTATTTTATTACTTCCCTTCTACGTGACTTTACCGAAAGAACCAAGAAGATGAATCCCTGCAGTCACGAAAGCTTTAAATGGAAATTTAATCAAGTTTTAATTTCACCAAGGCCCACTGAGCTATGGAACTCTTTTTGAGAAGCGACCTGGCCACAAATGATAGCACAACAAAGTGGCTTATCGTGTGGAAATGTATAGCAACGAAATACCATCAACGCATGTGGTTTCTGAATGTGAAGAGAAAAACCGGAGGACCCGGAGACCACGGGGAGAGACCTGGTGCCAGGTCAGTGCCAACGATTCTGTTGTTCACAATCTCAATGTCCCCGAGCCCCTCGGGTTAATTCCACTCTCGTGATGCCACCTCGGTGTGCTTGGAGCACTCGCTGTGGCGAAGACGAAGCCACCCGGGGTGGTGGTTGCACTCCTTCCCGCATTATCGGGAACTGCAGAGGGGAATTCTGATTAAAGAATATTCTGGAACTGGCGAACACCGCCACTCCAATGTCAGGTGAATGCCCTCCCGCCTGCCCCACGAAGGCCTGGTTCATGTCCCTGCCCCTCATCCAATGCCACATGTATGCCCCTTCCCCCCTGGAATGCCAGGTCAACCCCCCCCGACCCCCCCATTAAAAGGCAAGTTAATGCCACTGCCTCTCCTCCAATTCAGGGTTAATGCCTCGGTCCCTCATCCAATGCCCCTCTAGAGGCCAGGTTAATACCACTCCTCCAACTCCAACTCAATGCCGCTTGCACCCCCACGCCCCCCAAGGACCCTGAACCTCTGAACCCAGGCCCCCCCCAAAGACCCTGAACCCAGCCCCCCAAAAGACCCTGAATACAGGCCCTCCAAGGACCCTGAACCTCTGAACCCAGGCCCCCCCAAAGACCCTGAACCCAGCCCCCCCAAAGACCCTGAACAAAGGCCCCCCAAGGACCCTGAACCCAGGCCCCCCAAAGACCCTGAACCCAGGCCCCAAGGACCCTGAACGCAGGCGCCAAGGACCCTGAACCCAGGCCCCCCAAAGACCCTGAACGCAGGCCCTCCAAAGACCCTGAACCCAGGCGCCAAAGACCCTGAACACAGGCCCTCCAAAGACCCTGAACCCAGCCCCCCCAAAGACCCTGAACCCAGCCCCCTAAGGACCCTGAACCCAGCCCCCCCAAAGACCCTGATCGCAGGCCCCCCAAAGACCCTGAACAAAGGCCCCCCAAAGACCCTGAATACAGGCCCCCCAAAGACCCTGAACGCAGGCCCCCCCAAAGACCCTGAACCCAGACCCCCAAAGACCCTGAACCCAGCCCCCCCAAAGACCCTGAACACAGGCCCCCCCAAAGACCCTGAACCCAGGCCCCCAAAGACCCCCAACCCAGCCCCCCAAAGACCCCCAACCCAGCCCCCCAAAGACCCCCAACCCAGCCCCCCAAAGACCCCCAACCCAGGCCCCAAGGACCCTGAACACAGGCCCCCCAAAGACCCTGAACGCAGGCCCCCCAAAGACCCTGAACACAGGCCCCCTAAAGACCCTGAACCCAGGCCCCCCAATGACCCCCAACACAGGCCCCCAAGTCCCCGTGGCTTCACCTTGTGTCGCGCTCCTCCTCTGCGAGGCCCTTGCTGCTGCAGCTGCCGCCACTGCCACGCTGCGGGGCCAGAGGGCCCTCGAGTAGAGCCTGAGCAGCATGTCCGCTCCTCGTCCCCTGGCTGCTGCTGCTGCTCTTGGATGATGCTTCTTGTGCCCCTGCTCCTCCTGGCTTGCTGCTCCTTCTCCTCTCCTGCTACTCCTTGCCTGCTGCTTCTCTCCTGCTGCTATTTTCCTGCTTCTCCTCTCCAAGCTGATGCTGCTGCCGCTGCCTCGTGACAGCGCGGTACCGACGACCACGCGCGGCGTCCCCGTAGCCGCCAACAGTCGCTCCGATTGGTCCGATGTTGGGTCACGTGCGGCCGCGCCGACCAATGGCGAGAAGGGGGCTCGCTCTGGGGCCCAAGTGCACCACGTGTCCCCGCACCCTGAATCGGAGTTATATTTTGAAATAATAATAAAATTTAAATAACTAAATTAAATCACGACGTTTCGTAAGCAACACAAGCCTCCGTCATCAGGTGTAACTGCTCCAGTAAAATGAGAGTATTTTTTTGTTATTTTCATTTATTATTATTTTATTATTATTTTTACTATCAACGTGACTTTACCGAAAGAACCAAAGAATATTCCAGAGCTCGTTAATGAAACAGGAATGTCACTTCATGACGTCAGACAACACGTGTAAATACAAACTCGTCATTGCGTCATCGAAAACAACGCAGTTCGTTTACAAGGAAAAAAATGTAAAAAAAATATATAAACAAGCGACGTTTCGGCTAATGACCCTTCTTTATCGGAATGTAAATTACATAATTACGTAATCTAAAAGCGCTCTCGGTTAAACAAACACGTACCCGCGATGACGTCACGTCGCGATGTAAACAGCGCGGGCGGAAGACAACGCCCCTCGACACGTGCCGTGACGTCACCGCAACACGCGGGCGACTTGTTCGCAACACGCGCCGTGACGTCACCGCGACACGCGAGGCGACATGTTCGCAACACGCGCAGTGACGTCACCGCAACACGCGGGCAACTTGTTGGCAACACGCGCCGTGACGTCACCGCGACACGCGAGACGACATGTTCGCAACACGCGCCGTGACGTCACGAGGAACTTTAAGATGTTTTCTTGTTCATGTTTGTTGTTTGTTGCGGTTGCACCCGATTCAAGAGCCGAATGGCTCACAGGGCTACACCTAATAAATAAAACTGAAATGAAACTGATTGGCAAATACGCGCCGTGACGTCACCGCGACGCGCGAGGCGGACAACTTTCGTTTTCACACACGAACAGCAGCTGCCGCCACTGCCGGCGTGCGCGATGACGTCACCGCGGCGTGCGCAATGACGTCACCGCGCCGTGCGTGATGACGTCACGAGCCGCCGCTCTTTTATTTAAGGGCCGCCCGTCGGCGCCCGCCCCACAACGCGGGAAGAAGGCGGCGTCGTTGGTGGTGGCGGCGTTCGTAGCGAGGGCTCCTTGGGCCGCGTAACCTCTCAGAGTGACAACTTTGCCGTGGTTAGCGTCTCATCGGCCCTGCTGCCCGTGCGCGCCAGTCCGCGGGGACTATTCGTGGGTGAGTGGGTGGGTGAGTGAGTGGTGAGTGAGTAGATCTGTGAATGTGTTATGCAATGTTTGACTGCGACTTGCATTCGGAGTGTATATTGCAGTGTCAGCTTCGCTGTTGGAAATTGCTCTTGAAATTGCATCGTTGTACTGTATATCTACACTACATTGTGCTTAATATCGCATTTTAAAGTCGCGGCCATTGTTAGCAATATGCGTTGCATAGGCCAAGCTCTGAAAGACGAAAGTTTCGTCTCCTCTACCTCAATTATGGTTTTTATTGAGTCTTCAATGTTGACTCCTTGCTAGTGGTCGACGTTCCACCACCCTCCCCCCTGGCGAGGAGCCGTGGTCGTCCTCGCTTGACCCCGGGTTATATTTGTGGCTCAACAATCATTCTGGGCATGCATGTCAAGCGGCACCACGCTCCTATACCGAGTTTACTTCACGTGGCCACATGTAGAGCAGCAGAGGGCAGCGCAGACACATTAATTGTTGTGCTGTTCTTCTATGCTCCCCTGCATCTGTGCTGACCACCGTCTCCAACCCGTAGTATGGTCAGATACCCCCCCCCATCCCATGGCCCTCACTGATCCAGCAGTGGATTGACAAAAGGGTTGTCCTTGTGCATATTGTAATGTAAACAATAATTACTTTTTTACAGCTTTACTGGACTCCCAAGGTCAATAGATGTGTAAGATGCCACTTGTGCAACGCAACGTGGTAGACCTCGGCTAATAACTCTGCTGTGTGTTGAACTTCTTTCGCACCGTACGTAGCCAACCGTGCTAATCGGAGGTGCGAAATTGCTATCACAATTTCATGTTGGTGTCCATAACAGGAGGCCGCGTCTTGAGCATGTCCACAAACTCTCGAGGGATATTCCACTGAGTTGGGTTTTAGTAGCCCAGGAACGTGTTTGGTTGGATGCGTGACCACTACGGCCTATTATAAGGTGTTGTAGGGTGCTGCGGAATTTTTTTTAGAACGGAGGGTCAAATGTAGAAAAATACATGGGTCTTACTGCACAATGTTGCAACATCTATCGCTCCCTCCTGTCTTCACCATCCAGCACTGACCAGACTGGTGAAGTATGATTAACTAAGCCCCCCCCCCCTCCCACCGCTATACGCACGGTGTGGGGAGGCTCTCATCTAGCAGTGGATTGACAAAAGGGCGGCCTTCTGGTCAGCTGTTTTGTGCGAAAAGTGATTTGAGTGTGGATTTTAAAGGAAATTAAAAACAGCATTTGAATTGCCCACAAAGGCTGGTATTCACTTGCACGGGAACATTGCAAAATGTGCCCTTTGTAATATAGAATTCCTCCCCTCAAGATATATCAGTGCAATTCCTAGATTGACATTATTACTGTCATTATTTATGGCCATTTCGTAAAAAAGTATTTGGCAACGATACAGGGTCACTTGGGTTTGCCCTGGCAAGAAAGAAACCCTGAGATATGCTACCTTGTCACGCTTTATCTCTTAGCCCCCTCACCCTGTCTCACCCACTCTGATAACGCACTGGCTCTTGGACCCGACCAGATCTGGATGAAGCCTAGACATTCAAGCTCGGTCCGGAGGCTCCTCTGCTAATGTAACAAAAAAAAACCCTCTAGCTTCTTCATCGAGGAAGATATTACTGCAGTCAGTTGCTGTGTAGCCGGTAACAGTATAAAGTGTATTTTGATATATCTGGCCATGTGGAATTGTAATTGCCATTTGGAAGGGTTAGGAGTTCAAAGTCCCAGTTGGGATTTAGCTTGATCATCATCGTTGTCATCATCATCATCACTCCTGAGGCCGTATAATGACAGCCACTTTGTTTGAATCCATCTGTGGGTGTCCTATGTAGACACTACTGGCTTGTGCCATGTGAATGTGGAATGTCCTTTGTGAGATGAGGGTTGCCAATGGATACGAGCACCACTCCACAGTGATTTGGTTATGGAGAGTAGTTTGACATTAATACATTTGCATATTCTGTGTGTTGTGTGTTCACGACTGGAACATTCATTGCTTGTTGCAACCAACTAATTTACCTTTGCTTAGGCATTGCAATACGACGAGTTGTGCCCCTGTTCAAGTGAACGCGCGGCACTCCTCTCTCTGACCAGGTGATCTCTACCAACGCAAGCCGTCCACCGCTGCCCCGGCGCCAGCCATGAGGCTGCTTCTCCGCACCACCACCTCTCTCCTTGCGGCTCCCGTCACTGGGTCTCCCGGCGGAGCTCAGCTGCACCGCGGCAGGAGCACGCGTGCCGCCCATCGCCTGAGCCGCGAGCACGTGGACAGCATCCTGCGAGCGAGCGAGTACAGCTACACGGTGCCCGAGTTCGACGGCAAGAACGTGAGCGTCGTCATGGGCTTCGAGAGCAACCAGCTGCCGTCCAACTCGCCCATCGAGGACCGGCGTGCGGCCGCCACATGCCTGCAGTCGGGCGGAATGCTGCTGGGCGTGTTTGACGGGCACGCTGGGCCCGCGTGCGCGCAGGCCCTAAGCGAGCGCCTCTTCTACTACGCGGCGATGGCGCTGCTGCCGACGGCGACGCTGCGGCACATCGAAGACGCGGTGGAAGCGAGGCGCTCGGTGCCGCCCGTGCTGCTGTGGCACAAGCACCCGTACGACTACGTGAACCGCGAGAGCGCGGCGCTGTACTTCCAGAGCCTGCGCACCTACTGGCAGGAGCTGATAGACCTGGACGACGGCACGCAGCCCGACGTGGCCGACGCACTGGCGGGGGCGTTCGCGCGACTCGACTCGGACCTGTCGCTGGAGGCCCAGGCGGGCACGCCCAGCCGCTGCCTGACCGCGTTGGCGCTGCGCTCGGCGTTCTCGGGCGCGACGGCGTGTGTGGCGCTCGTGCGCGACGGCGAGCTGCACGTGGCCAACGTGGGCGACAGCCGCGCCGTGCTGGGCCGCCGCGCCGGAGCCGGCTGGGAGGCGGTGCCGCTGTCGCGCGACCACTGTGCGGAGAACCCCGCGGAGGTGGCGCGCCTGCACGCCGAGCACCCGGAGAGCGAGCGGCGCACGGTGCTGCGGCACGGCCGGCTGCTTGGCGCCCTCGCGCCACTTCGAGCTTTCGGCGACGTCAAGTTCAAGTGGAGCCAGGAGCTGCAGCGCCGCGTGCTGGAGTCGGGCGCCGACCTCGTCGAAGGCATCGGGCACCGCGACTTCTTCCCGCAGGACTACCACTCCCCGCCGTACCTCAACGCCCGGCCCGAGGTGGGAGACGTCAGGGACTGCGGACTGGCATCGGCACTGTAGCTGCCAGCCGTGACAACCGCCTACGCTAATACCAACACGGTCACTACTACCACCAAAGATTAAAGATCATCCCCTGTATAGCCTTAATGGACTGTTGGGGCAAGTGCTGTTTGCGAGTAGCACCAATGAAGGCCAGAATGGTACATGAGGGGGTTGTGGCCAACACAATGCCTGACCGTCTTTTTTCCCCCAGTAATGCTTACACTGCACTAAGTATTCCTTAGAGTCTGAGTCGACCTAGGGGAGGCCTGAGACTGGTTCAAATATTCACCACCGGCAGTGCCGAGAGAGAGAGAGAGTCTGTAGGATTGTTGGGGGCCAGCTGGATGTGCTAGCAGGAAGCAGCTTATCGGTGTTTATTTTGTTCATGAAAAAAGTGGCAGAAATATTGGTTAAGTATGAGCATTTATTTAATTTTGGTCAACTATGACAATGAGTTGGCTACTAAATCATCATGGCCAACTAAAATGAGAACATTATCGGAGATGCAGGCTGAAGATAATTTCGTAACATTATTCAGGATGGCAGTGTGCTGAGTAAGTTAATTTATAATAATTTGATATCTATATTTATTGAGATCACTGATTGGCTAACCTGATATTGGAGGCTTGGAAATTGCATGACCCTCACACCAACATTGAATAACTAAGAGTAGAATAAACCTTTCTCTGCTTGAGTTTATTAGACTAAGAATGACGGCATAAATCCACAGATAAAGACTCGACAAACATTCCACAGGTTTTCATTTGTCTAGATTAAGACGAGTAAAACAATTGCTGACTATCTTCTTGGTTCTTTCGGTAAAGTCACGTAGAAGGGAAATAATAAAATAAAAATAAAACATAATAAAATAATTCTCACGACGTTTAATTTTTATTTTATTATTTCCCTTCTACGTGACTTTACCGAAAGAACCAAGAAGATTAATCCCTGCAGTCACGAAAGCTTTAAATAGAAATTTAATTGCTGACTAAATTAACACTACATCTAACAGATCAATCTGGCCATCTCGCAGCCCAGGACTAGAGCAACTGGTATACACCTAAGCAGTACCTAACTAGGTTCAAAGCCTGCTTTGCCTGAGCTCATCCGATTCCTCCAGGATAAATAAAGAGTCTGATTCTGCTTCCGGCAAGATTGGATGTATTCAGGGTGATCTTTTTGAGGCAAGCTCAAGGCTATATTGCGATACAGGGCACACATGCAGGTTTAAGTCACATACACAATTATAATGCTGTTTTTAACAAAGGCAATACAAGCAATAAACAACTCTCATTTACCTTGGGTAATGAGGGCGAGCAATGGGCCGTACAAAACACAAACCTGGGTGATGCAAAACATTGAAATTAAGCAGTAAAAACATAATTATTGTTTGTGTGTGTGTGTATGGGGGTAGGGGGGCTAACTCATCGGATGATGAGGTCATTGTTGTAAGCAGCAATTCGGTAAACGGTAAATCATTACACACCGAGCGGAACTATTAACACGCTTAAAAACTGCACGTGCTGTCAACAATTATTACACAAAAGGTGTAAAAAATGTTATTCATCTCAGAAAGATGATGGCGATGGACTGAATCAACCCTGACCAGGAATTGAATTCACATGCAGTGGTGCAGTGGTTCTTTTACTGCACAACAATTAAGGCGACCTAATGTCAATTCTAATCCTTTGCCTTACTTACACAAGTGGGAAATTATATCTGAACTTGTCCTGGATATCCCATTGATGTATGAACATGAGCACTGGGGAACAATGCTACCCGGGCGTGGTGTGCGCCATACCACCCCACCGTGCATTGTGCCGGCCTTAACAGCTGCTCGCTAACAACACTTGCCCTAACAGTATATACGGTTGTTTCTGAAAAGTTTTCACGTGTTTGTACGTGTCGACATGTGTGTGTGCATGTGTTTGCAGTGTCTTTATGTGTATGGGGAGTGGTGACGTAGTTGCAAACACACGGTACTATGAGCATGGTGATCGAAGTTCGATTCCTGGCCACGGCAAATAAAAAGTAGAGGTATATACATTTGTCCTCGGCCTACCCTATCCTTCAATGAGTACCTGGTGCAGTGTGTAAGTAAACATCAGCACTGGGGGAATGATGGCGGTGTGGCATCGTGCTGGCCACAGAATCTGCTTGCACACCACGCCGGCTCGCTAACGGCACTTGTGCAGTCTATAACAGCCGTACGGGGGACTGCGATGTGTGTGTTTGGTACAGGTGTTAAGGCATCGGCTGGGTGCAGGCGACCGCTTCCTGGTGCTGGCGACGGACGGGCTGTGGGAGATGCTGGACATTGATGACGTCGTGCGGACCGTCGGGGACTACCTGGAGGCTACAGAGGGCGGCGCCGTGGCGCAGAGGCACCAGCAGGTGGGTGCAGGCCACCTCTCCGTTGACAGTGGGGGGGGGGCGCAGCGGGGGAAGGCCGCCAGGGCCGACGGTCGTCGCTGAACCAACGCTGCACGCACGCAAACGATTGCTCGGATCAAGCGCCGGTCTTGACCGAGGTTGCCGTGCTGATTGTCCCGTATTCATTCGGTTTTGCCACGGTACCATTTTTTAAATATTTTCTCCGGATAAATTTATATTTAAAACATTTGCTACAGTAATCGCGATATGATATTTTCTACGCATGTTTGGGTAGTCGACCTTGTATCACACGGTATAGTATCGCTTCATAGCAGCACTTATCTATAATATGCTGGTACCAGCACGTCCTTGGGATGTTTTTTTTCCCAACCTAGAATTGTTTATAAAAGATGGCAGCACAAATAACTTGAAGCCTCTCGGCTTCATCCTCCACTGCCCAGTCAATATTTACATAAAGCGTAATTCTACCATGATTAACATGGTACGGTGGAAGTTTTCAGTTGCTTTTTTTTTAACTAGGTAATAATTTATGCATAGGTCAACATGAATACCTTCTGTCCGGTTCTTGCTGGTATAATGAGCCCTTGCTTGACTGTACAGCGAAAAACTACTCAAATAAGTGCTGTAACTGACGGACATACGATATTCTTTTACTGGTAGGAATCTCCTGGTTACACCAGCCCACGGGGGATTATTGTGTCCGTCGTGCAGGGAGGGGCTGGGTGGGGAGGGAGGGGCTGGGTGGGGAGGGGAGGGTGGAGCTGGGTGGGGGGTGGGGCTGGGTGGGGAGGGGCTGGTCACCCCGTGGTGCCCTTATAAAACTCAACGTTTAACCTACTCACGCCGTTTTGTACCCGCCCTCGCAATCGGCCATATTTGCGGAATACACCACGCCGCCGTTGACCCTGGCCATTGACCGAGCAACCCAACGTTCCTACCAGCTCCCTCCGCAGGAATGTGTTAAATAAGAGAATGATCAAAGTGAAGAGCATATCGAGGCAATACAAACAGATGATACTTCACCTTCCTGCTGTACATATGTATGTTGAACTCCTTTCGCACTGTACGTAGCTAATCGTGCTAATCGGAGGTGCGGGGGAAGGACAACGAACGAAACACAAAAAGCAGTTCTTAAGAAATGAGTTTTCAATCCAGATCCCACAACTCTTGCACGGTTGACATCTACAATAATGGCAATTGTTCAGGCAGGAAAATCTTTGTGATGCTCCGTGGTCACGAGAAAACGGATCCGTGCCAGTCCAGCCCCGTTCTCTGATCTTCATCGGCCGATTCGTTTTCGCGCTCCTAATCCTCACAACGGGTTAAATCGCAGGCACTTTTTGTAAATTGCTCAACCAGCTGAGTGGGATGTCCGCACGATGAGAACTCCTTACGCTGCAGCGAGTCGCACAATGAGAAGAACTCGTTGTACATGCGTCAATGTGCATGTTCACCCACTTGCCGACTATAAACCTGGAGAATCGCAGTTGGCCAAAGTGTGAAGCTTAGTTTCCTCTCAGCGATGGTGTAAATAAAAACGATTGTTTTTGTTAGAATTTTACGTGCAAGTTCACTGTTCGGCAACACCCACGGTATGTCCCGCACAGCTCATTTCTCGCCGTGACGTTTCATCTCCGTGGGCGAAGGCCCTCCTCCCCCTTTCCCTGCGGTTGTGTAGCGGCAGTGCTTCTCACAATCCCCGTCACTGTGTGGCACACTTTGGGATCTCGCTTGATCTTTACCACAGAACCAAAAAAAAAATCGGTGGGCTCTTAAGCGTTCTGGCTGTGGACCCCAGGTTTAGATCACTGACCCACTGTTTAGGCTGAGAAACCTTTTCTCAGAATTGGAGGCTACTACAATTGTAAACTTTTAAACACACGCACTAAAATACAATGTGCCGTGACTCGCACACGTCGCTCGTAGCAACCGTTTGCCCAACTGTTCGTGCGCGATCAAGGTAGTTGAGGGCCGGGGTTGGGGGCCGACTGCTGGGCGCCACGGTGGCGAGATTTTACTACCTCGACTGCTATACAGGAGGTCGTGGCTTTGATACCGACCCTGACGCCTATATATTTGGAGTTTGAATGACTCTCTTCCTGTGGTCGAGTGGATTTTTCTCCAAGTCCTCCGGGTTTTCCCTTTAAACGCATTTATAAACATGCTTTAGAGTTTGGCTGTTATACATGTTCACGTGATAAGGCACTTTGTTGAACTATCATTTGTGCAAGGTCACTTTTGAAAAAGAGCTAATAGCTCAGTGGGCCTTACCCGGTAAAATAAAATTAGTTTAGCTTTTAGTTATAGCTTGACTGTGTCACGACCAATGGAGAACGGAGGTTGGGGCTGGATCGGCCACTGAACGGCACGGGAGAGTTCGTCTGTTCTAGCTTGCGAACAGTGAAGTTATTTTCTTTCCTATAATTCCAAAAATACTGCGGCACACCTGGAACTTCGCACCCGACGAAGCACTGGTGGAGGGAAGTGACCGTAATGTTTGTAGACGTTTTTAACAAGGTCTGACACATGTTCGGGTCGCTTGCGCTACCAAAAGCTCCCGTCTGTTGTTTGATCTTTTCTGCCGTCACTTAAAAAAAAAACATAGCTCTGAAGTTGACCTATGCAAGAGATCCGGTTGACAGGTATAGGTGGATATGTGAACATCTCATAGCTAATAACAGTTACACCGTCATGCACGTATAAAATAAAGCACAAATTGCTTTAAATACGGGGGAATTCTTCACTGTGCTTTACACACAAGTGATTACCATCTTTAAAAAAATAAGTTACTTGCACAAATACTGCACTGAGTGTGGGCGGGTTAATTGGTCAGGGCGGATATGCCCTAACTAGGAGATGTCCGCCTATCGTTTTCTCCGTCTGCTTGAACGACGACGGTAGGAGCGGCGCGAGGGCGGCTCCGTTGTGCGCCTGGGCGAGATGCACGGCCGCCTGCTGCTGCAGCAGCGTCAGCGGCAACGAGCAACGCCGGGTGGAGGGACGACGACGTCGCCGAGCGCCGACCGCAACGCGGCGACGGCGCTGGTGCGGACGTGCGGTGGGGCGCGACGAGTCTGGCCGCGTGTGCGAGGAGCGCGTCGCCGAAATGCTGGGCCTGCCCGAGGAGCTGGCGCGCATGTACCGCGACGACATCACCGTCACCGTGGTCGTCTTCAACCCCAGCGTTTTGGACGCCGAGCACCGGTGATGGCAGCCGCGACGAAGCGGAGAAGTGATGACGGTGGTGGTGGCGGCGGCAGCGATGGGAAAGAAGGCGATGACCGTGATTTCGGGCTTGTGATGACAGCGATGACGAAGGGGTTGCTCAGAGCAGTTGGCGGTGGTGGTGATGATGAATGTTGTAATGACGAGGTGAGGAGAGGGAGGGGATTATGAAGGGGTGGTTGATGGTTTTGGCAATAGAGTAGTGATGAAGTTAAAACGGTGATGGAGTGGAAGTGATGGATTGCAGGCGGTGAAGTCGAGGTGATGAAACCAATTGCGAGTCGGTGTGAGTTACTCGGTGGCTAACCCCGCTCTTGGAAAATATCCATATTTGGATGTCATTCGAGCAGCAAAGCGTGTTAATTCGCCACTACCACTATTTTATATCACAGTTGCCAAGCACAAAGCCCAAGGCTTGTGTTGCAGCACAAACCAACAAGTTACTTGAACTGATGAATGCAAGTTGAATCTGAAAGCTTTACCAAAACTCTGCATGCATACGCGTGTATGTGTGTGCATGTGCATACTGTCTAGCAATGTTTTCCAACCAGAAAAAGCAATTGCCCGTTACGCATCCAACATAAAACATTACACCGTACCAGATGTGGCGTGACGCATGGAGCAAAGCATCAAGCGGCAAAACACGAAACTTGTCTTTGTGGGACGGCCAGTGGATTCGGGGCAATTGCATTTATAACTTCCAGCTGTGTCGCGACAACACATTCATAATCGCATTATCGTGAGTCTGAAAAGCAGCCAAACCTCTTAAGCTGACGAGAAGTAATGCGCTGTATTGTTTTATTTTTTATTATCAATAAGGGGTAGGATTGTGTTTTTAAGCCAAAGTTTGTCAACTCCAGCCCTTGTGATACCCTCTCCTGTGGGCCAGCTCTGTGTCGCGGTGGCTAAGAGATGTTAACTACCTCGCCTGGTATACAGGAGGTCGTGGGTCCGATCCCTGACCCTGACGTCTGCTGTATATTTCGAGTTTGCGTGTCTCTTCCCATGGTCGCGTGGATTTTTCTCCGAGTCCTCCGGTTTTCCCCCTCCACATTTAGAAACAACCTGCGTTTAAGAGTTTTTGACTGCTATAAATTTGCACGCGATAAGCCGCTTCGTTGAGCTGTCATTTGTCGCAAGGCCGCTTCTGAAAAAGATGTATAGCTCCGTGGGCCCTTATCCGGTATCATACAAAGTTTAGTTTTATAAAAAATCTTATGTCCATATGCAAATTAAGCTACAGCAAACTTTTTGCACCTGATTGTTGGTAGTCGTGGAAACCTGTGCTGTGGGGGCAGCGAGGACTGGAGGAGTCAACACCGATTTAAAGGAAGATGCAACTCAACACGGAGCCCTTGTGGATATCTGTACTTGGGCAGTGGGAGGATGTCCGATACGAATTTGAAGCGTCGTTCATGAGAACGCAGGCTTGAGGCACTCTGTCACAGCGCTACAGTGATGGCAATGCAATGACTTTGGATGAGAACGTGTTAATATGCTGGCCATGCAATCCTGTCGGCGATAACTTTGGTTGAGATGTCATCCACGCTTGCCGTGCCGGCGAGTGAGCCCAGACATATCCGCAGACCTCCGCAAGTCACGGCGGGAACAAGCCATCGATGTTAGCTGGCTACGCATCACACCGCTCCCTCTGAATTCGACCAACTCCAGCCTAACCTGGATTTGCTCCACTCAGCAGATTGCATTCCCCTAATGCGAGTGATCACGAGCTCGCTCGAACGTAGAAGTGATTTTTAACAACATCGCTAGTTTGCAATTATTCACTTAGCCATAAAGTGTGTTGCTCATGAAGGGTCGACTGTAGCATAGTTTTCACCACTGGGCCAACTTGCATAGAGTTTAAGGTTTAATTCCCATAGTAATTTGTTTGGAATTTCCAAAACAGCTATCAGGTGTAGAATGGAATGAGACCCACGTGGTATTGCTTCCAAAATTAGTCCAATAAACCAGTAAACGTTTTCCATAGTGTATTTTATGCACGTTTTCCAGCATATGGCACTCTTTTGTAATCTTATCCATAGGACATGAGGCACCTGCAAGAGGCAGTACAACATGTAGGTTGAGCGGACAGTGGAGAGATCTCGCCTCGGATGTGGGTTTTGGGTTTCCTCATCCAAGCAAAATACAGGAAGAAATTTGAAAAACATCCCAAGCAGGACCCGCTTGATAATCTTGACTTGTGCTTTTGTTGGGTACATTTTACTGCGGTTTTCCACTTGGTGTGGGCTGGCTGGTGCTCACATCCGTTTATTGCGCAGATTTGTCATGTAAATTTCACATTCTCAGGGCAGGGGTTGGCCTCCCAAAAGGCTTCTCCTAAATCAATTGAGCACAGAATGATGGGCCCCATTGGGCCCCAACCAGGATTTGAATTCGTAAACTTACAATTGCGAGTCTAATGCTCTAACCACAGCGCTACCCAGCTGAATGAATTAAATGCTGTGTATTGCATGCATATCGGCCCAGAAACAAGTGGAGGGGAGCCTACAGGAGCTGAATGTGTCTTGGCTGAATGTGGTTGGAAAGTGCTTGGCCATAAGGAATGTGTGGGAGTGACCCCAACCCTTGCGTAAACGCCTTGCCCCAGGGCGCCATAGTGCTCAAAATATCAGCATACGCTTTTAGACTTGGAAAGGCGATTCAAGCACCATAGGCAGAGGAGACTGTCAACAGTTTGGTAACTGAACACGAACAACCAATTTATAGGTGCCAAATAACCTGGGCGTATTGTATACAAAGCTTTGTATTGGCATTGGAGCTTGAGAATTGTTCAAGTATGTCCACACTGAAAGGGAGCCCAGTTACTATTAAATGAATATGAATAGCTTGAGATGTTACAGAAATACGAATGGAGAGCCCTTTCTGAATACAGTGTTGATGAAGGCTTCTCCACACGTGTAAATCATGGAAGTCAGAGGTGGGAGGCAAACGAATGATTCCAGATACCACTCGCCTCTGACCTTAGCCATGGCCGACCATCAAACTCAGGTCTATGGGTGATTCATGTGGTGTGTTAACCATTGCGTCACTGCCCCGCTCTTGAAATCAAATGCATTTACCAAAGTGGAAGACCCACAGGGACTGTTACTCCCACTGCTAATCGGTTGAAAGGGTTGCCCACATTGGATAAGCGCAGCGAAGTACTGTAGGTTTACAAACTTGCTTGTCTTGAAAATCTATCCCAGTGGTGCTGCGGTCAAGCCACTCGACCACGAGTTCAGTTGTCGTAATTCTCCCCACTCCAACACTGCATCGTTTACAATTCAAACGAAGGATAACCAGTCTGCTCAAATTAAATTGCTTTTAAAATATATTTTAAATCGAGGTCTTAGTGCTGATTCATAAACGTCCATTTCGCATGGATGACCCAATTAGTCGTGTTTGAGGTGACTGCAATCACGTATTAGGTGGGCCATGAGGCTAGTCTCCTGCATCGGAACATTAACAGGCCAATGCACACATCTTCATAAATGGAAAATGTAAAGACAAGCCGCAAAGTGACTGTGGCTATGCAACTCAAACTATGGACAACATAGTACACCGTTGTGATCTGCACCCCTTCGATGGCAGAATAGCAAAACTACTCCCAAAGCCCTCTCGTGACTTGCAGACCTCGACATTTCACTCCTGAACATATTGCCATCCGCAAGGAATACAATAGCGCTGAACAATTAGAGCTCATGGTCGATTACGACACTCAGACGGTCCATGTTTTGTGCTCTTCTCTTACTTGGTAATCTACTTTTTTTTTACTAAAAAATACTTATGGCATCAGTGGGTTATATCAGTCTACTTTGCGACATCAACCTCCCAATCTGCATGTGGTGATTATTTATCATGGTCTAAGCAGACAGAAAGCCATTTTTATACATACTGTATATATAACATTGTATAAGCAAATGCTGTAATTTTGAAATGTTGACGTTGGTTAAGAATTGCGAGATTATACGTTTGCTCACTTGCCATCCAGCTCGAGGGGCATGCTGCTGAGTCTAAGTTTAAATCTCACGAAATTTTACTCTTGGTCACATGCTCCAGTATTTACGTAATGGACCCTGTGAAGCCAAACCTGCCCACAAGCCAAAACTTAGTACAAGGAAAACATTGAGACTTAATCAGTATCACAAAAATATATTTTTAAAGTGTATTTAAATAACCCTCACCTTTTAAGCACAAAATATTGAACCCTTTTATTTGCCTGTATGCTTGACACGTTATGCTCTATTTTAACCGTTATATTTAGTTACATTTGCATCGCTGTGTTATAAGTGTAATATAAGTTCTGTAAATATTTACTATGTTGCCGATAGACGGACAAGTGCTGAAATTTGAGTGTTACATTTAAGGGTTGATCAAGATTGCGTTGACAACAATCGATTATATCTTGTGGTTTAAGAAGGCTCCATTTCCTAGTTCAAAACATCCCCCAAAAATGTCCATGTCCTGCACATATGCACATAGGCTGCAATGGTGAAGTAGTGATTTGATTTTATGGGGTGGTTTGGATTTGGGAAATTTCTATTGAATGCCCTCCAGGTTGGGAGTGAAATGCTGCCTGTTGTCCGGTTTAACGGCACTGTACGCACGTACTTTAATTTGAGATCTGAATCTTGGTCGTTTTGTAAGCCTCAAATGTTTAAACAATAAACCATGCAGTCATATTTTGTAATACCGCGGTTGGAATTTCAACACCCCCCTTTGTCACGAGTTATGAAATATAATTGAGTAATGTGTACAGGTGGCAGTGGCTGAAGGTGAAAAACATGCTTTCCTGCCACCAACTGACCAGTTATGTTTTAAATAAACTGATCCCTGCCATGTGGAATTCAATCGTGGTTCAGGGCCACCTATGGATATGGGCACCACTGTGCTTATTTGAGCAGGAAGACCTCAACCTTTGAATCCAATGGAGCAAGTGCCACCAAGATGCCAGGTTTGAATCCATGGTTTGGTCGCCGGTCATGATCTGTCCACTTCTATGTGAAAGCCTCTCCATGTTTACACTGAGACCACCTTTGCCAGTAGCAAGATATAGTAATAGATTTTTACCCTTTTATCTGGCACAATCCTGACACCTTTATATAAGGGATCATGCTTGCAATAACCACAAGTAGTCAAAATGCAAAGACAACTCTGATGATATGCACTGTCCTTGAAATTGATTGGTCCACACGCGAGATGGCTTTTCTTCGAGCCTAGTCTCAACTAGTTTTGGACCAGATATCATGCTCCTGTGATTTCACAATATAGTGCTCCTGCACATTAGCTGATCTTAAGATTACATCTCTGCAATGGCCAGCCTTTTTATTTTAGCCATTCCATCACCAGTCTTGTCCAGCTATCTGTTCTAAGCTCAGACTTCTGTTAAAGACTACCTCGTGTCTGTAATGTCTGTCTCATCATTCGTCTCTCCATGGTTCTTTGTATGCTTCTACCATTGTTCTATTTCCACCACTCACCATGTTTCTGATCCATTGCCATAGCAAGTAATATGCACCAATTAAAAACTTTCAAGTGCACTTGTATGTTGCTTGAGCAAGTTTAGTTTTTCAAGTGATCCAACAGGCTCTCATTAGCCTCAATTTGATCCACTTCAAGTTACTCAAGGTATATATTTTTTCCTCTTTACATCCTGGTTCCTCCAGGTGACATCCTTTCAAATAATTTTTATTTTTCACAAGTAATTGGAGTATCTCGAGAAACTCAACCAAACAGATGAGTATTTTTCTGTGCCGTCACCTAATCCTATAGGTCTGGAGTGTCACGTATGATAAACTCTACATGGTCTCCCAACCCTGCATACAATCCGCCCTATGGTTGAACATTTGCAGAGCATATGTGCTGGATATCATGTTCAAATGCCAAGTCATAGCTCACTTTTGAGCTGAGCCCAAATTAAACTCTCCAACCTTTGTGTCGGTAACCCTATTGATCGACCTTCCCAATGCGCAAACAGTAACATGTGGTCTGTTTACTTGGAAAGCTACAGGCAGGACATCAATGATACATCTACAAACAGAATAGCATGGGCCGCTTTAATACACGTTTACCTATCACCTACAACCAGTTGGAATTCAGAAATTACATTGGATCCAAACGTGCATTATTTGTCACTTTACCCAGAATAAGCAATTTCTCAAACATTTATTTCAAAAACAATGCATACAATGTAACATGGGTTTAATATTTTAAAAAGTATCGGTTGTTTCACCCAGGTATATTTGAAAGGGTTTTCACACTGTACTAAACACCAGTGTCTCCCTCTTCAAATAGGCAGAGGGTGGCACTCACCTCCCTTTTCGCCAGTGATGGAAATTCCACACTTCCATGGCGAGGCCGAGCCTGCTGGTAGACTGTTGACTTCTCACGAAGTGGTCCCCAGAGGGGTTGAAAGGCTGAATCACCCCCCCCCCCCAAAATTAGAATTGATGGTGTGCCAGAATTCCTTAAATGTCAAATTAAATTGCTATTTGAATCTCGGTGGGGTAGCAAACAATTGGGTGTGAAGCAAAACCTTTTAAAACCAGACGAGTAAGCCAGATTCAGGGTAGGCTAGAAAGTTCCCCAAAATAAATAAATACACATTAGGCAATTGTGAGCATGTACACAAGCAGTTCCCAAATAACATACCACTTGGACAGAATTCATGGATTTGTTCCCTTGGACACCGGGCTCTTAGTTTTCTAATTTAAGTTGATGTTGCAAACGAAATAAATGCTTCGAGCCCATCAAAAATAAATCTACGTGGATTTTCGCATCCAGTGAACCTCGGCCACCTTCTGCTTCATTGGGATATTGACTTGGATTAAGCCGTTTCAACATTATGAAATTGAAAAATAGTTTGCGGATATTAAGTCTCAATTCAATGTCTTGCATGTTAATTGCAAGCAATTAAATGTAGCTTTTAAATGGTTTAATTTGCAGTATACCAAACAATCTGTAAAACTGGAATGTCTCCTCACTTGTCGAGCTTTGAAGTGTTGACTGTATTAAGTCTCGATCTGCCAACATTTAATTATTTAAACATGTTGTATTGCCCTGACTTGGCTCCTGAATTAACACCTTAATAACAATAGACATAAGTTAGACTATAAAAAAAAGTAATCTCAACTGACCCACCAGGATCAAGTAGCCAAGCACACGGTTCAATGAATTTATCAAAACAATCTGCCAGGCATAAGAAGCGATCAGACTGACTACGTGGCATAACTAACGTTTATTTACATATTGTACAAATCCAAGGCGCATAATGAGCTGTTAAACAGTGAGTGGTATTGCAAAGTCAATAGCTGGTTAACAAAATTTTAAGGATTGCTTTTTTTAATCCTTCCAGATTTTGGACACTGCTGAAATGTCTGCAGGTTTCTTTGCCACATTTATTCCTGGACTGATTTGAAAGGTGTCACACTGCGAGTAAATTGTAGGGTCGAAGTTTACCTTCTGAATATCTACAAAATTATATGACAAATTACCCAACAGCCCGGGTTAAGTCTAATAATACCATAATAAAAAATGTACATTTCTTGTACAAGGTACCCATGGGCCTCCTTTCAGAGTAAATGCAAAGAACACCCACAATTTACCCACCGGCAGCATTCAATGCACAATGGGACTTGCTGCAGAAATGTTACTTCAGACCTCAATTACAAATGTGATATAACATCCCACTTTAACCATGGACAAACTAAATTGAACACAAAGACCCCTAGCCGTTGTCAACAAAATTAGTATTTCTTTGGAGATTTTGGGAAAGAGACATGAAGCCATCAAACATTTTAATGTAAAGCAAATAAAATTACTAAATTAATCATTCTTGCCTACCATGAAATTATGCACAAGATGATGCCCTTATTAAAATCCAACAAGTTCTGTACGTGAAAAAACCCAAAACATGAATAAGCATGCATGCTGGAAATAACATGCAAAAGTATGCTCAAACAGCATCAAGGCTCAAAACTAATTGCCTGGAATGCATGTCATGTGACCACCACATTGCAACAATACGGCCACACAATCAGCTCTTGAGCTGGTAGTCTGGATAAGGTTGAGCTTTGTACATGCAACTGCGGTGGTCACATGAAAAGCATGCATGCAAGGCATTATGGGAGTTGTGCCCTCCGACGCGTGGTGACCACACCATTGTTTTAATAAAGATACTCCCCTTCTCATCGGAAACTTTACATTCTGAATTTCCTGTCATTGTGCGCAAGTTAAAATATTTTAGTTATTTTATATATGCCAATCCATTTGAACCTCACCACAAAATGTTTGAATGTCAGTTGCTCACAATTGGGTGAAGGCAGCAAATGAACAAACTATTCAATTTAAGTTGACTTCTTTGGCTGAACTTATATTGTTAAATCGTTTGAGCTTGGGGTTCGTATACATATAGTCATGCTCAGATTTATGAATTCAAAAATATGGTTGGCCAGTTTGAATATCGATCGTGCTTTGAGACTGAGTAACATGAACTCGCTAATTTACCTAAGTCGCTTGCAATGCATGGCCACTTCCGCTGAGGGAGCCGGTGGTCATCCAGTGATGGAGGCTCCGAGGTAAATATATATTTCCTTGGCTATATTCACAGTTCACTTAGCTTTTTCAAAACATTTGACCAAAATGACACTGATATTGCCGGAGTATAAAACAGTGGTGTGTAAGTATAGATGACACCGACACAAAATGTTTTGTCTATTTTTAGTCCCTGATTGACTTACAGTAATTTTCTTGTGCCCTAACATTTATGCTTTTTTTTACTTCCCATAACAGATAAAGCCAAGCTGAACCGAGAACAAAACTCAAACATCGTACAAACATATGCAGATATAAAAGGAAACAAAGTTTTTTTTATAAAAAAAATTTACGTTTATCCTAGCATTGTAAATCAATCGATTTAAAAACTGGTTTGAAAATGAAAAAAAAAGGCGATATTTAAGAATTCTAAATGTCAAACCTCAGGAGGCGTTCAAAAAATTATTCAGGGTGCAATCGCAGAAGGGTCAGGAAAGCCCCTTCTGGTCTGCTGTAGGAGATGCAAAAATTATCATCGTGTTTGCAATCAGCACAGGGCATGTGTGCTGGACCGACGTTCAACAAGGATCAAGCCGGAGTGATGGCACAACGGCCGCACGCAGCTGGGGTGGGAGCCCTCATCTCCTCATGGGCGTGAGTAGCTGCAATGCGTTCATGGAGTCTGGGAAGAGGTTGTGATAGGTGGGCACAGGGACGTATGCTGCCGTGATCATCTTACCTGCAGCAAACCACAGGCAAAAGACACCGTTGAAGACAACCCAAAATAAAAAGATGTGAGTTCATACCTGTACAATTTAACGATTTACCAGCTAGAAATTTATTTTTCTATGATTCTGGGTCACAAGTCAATTCAGAAGTGTATTCTTTTAGTATTATTTTTACAGTCCTGTAGTTTTTTTCTTATTCATCGAGAATTGTTCACTACATTAACTTAAATGTGACATTTGTAAGAATGATAAATTATCCTCACACGCAAGATTCAATGGCATGTATTGTGAGCATAATAACGTATTTTAATCGACAAATGTAATATGCATTGCCAAATGTCTGGTTACGACATTATACTTGAGACCCAGATCTTGGCTTCACAGAAAATAAACACTGATCATAGACTATAACTTCTAAGGGAATATTCACTTAGAAATCGAGATGGAACCTAAAAAACAAAGAGCTGTCATTTCAGACACACCGAGGCTGCCCCAAGTTGTCTACAACAAATTTTAAGTTTCCTCAGTGAAAAAAGCAAAACATTAGTCAGACATTCTCTAGGTGACGTCAATGTACTATGTTCAGGAACTAGATAATAACCATGTGGATTTCATGGCCACGATCGCACTGTGACTTGTATTTATTTTTCCATTTATGAAATAGATGTGCACATCAGCCTGTTAATGTTCTGATGCGGTTGATGGTTACACCATTGCGAAATGTCACAGGGAGGTCGTGCAATTTTTGGGCCTCAAACGAAGTATCTATTCTGTTTCAGTTTCATTTATTTGTATTTACCCTGTGAGCCATTTGGCTCTTGATTTGGGTTCAACCGCAACAAACAATACAATTACAAAATACACCTAAAATACATTGTACACAAATCTAAACATCACATACGTAAACAATAAAATCCTACAGAAAAAGCACAACCCATCCATGCTGCGTACAAAAGTGCAAAAAAAATCAATTTCTGGATGTCCAAGTTGTTCAACTCGGTTTTCCAACATTCTCCTGGATCTGGGTGAGGTACTAGGATGGTGACAGCGTGATCCCCAAAGGGGGATCTTGGGACTTAAGATGATGGTGAGGTACACTGCTGAGGTATTGGTTGATGGATAGGTTGTTGTTGGTAAGAAAACGTGGAAACTCCCCTGCACGTCTCTGGAATATTTGGTAGCAGAATGTTCACCAGAACAGAGAGCCGGGGGATTGGTGTCTACATAGCGTTATTCAATTGTACATCTCGAAGTTGTGTTCAAGCTCCCAGACCAAGCTGGAGCACAATATTCTGCCATGAATAGATCAGGGATAAGGCAAGAGTTCACACCACATCATCTGAGGCACCCCAGGCTGTTTTTGCAAGATTCTGAGTAAAGAGTAATTCTTAACCTTCTTCTTGGTTCTTTTGGTAAAGTTACGTAGAAGGGAAATAATCAAAATAAAACATAATAAAATAAAAATAAAGCATAACATTTTTATTGTTATTCCTTTATTATTTCCCTTCTAAATGACTTTACCGAAAGAACCAAGAAGATGAATCCCTGCAGTCATGAAAGCTTTAAATTGGAGCAATTCTTAATTGAGTATATTTACAGATGTTATATATTGGGGCTTTCAGGAAAGGCTTCTTCTGTTCACGATCACCACTAGATATCTCAAAATGGCACTGTGCTACCATAGGACACATCAAGGGTGGAATATGCTGCATGCTTATTCAGGTGGAACGTGCCTGTGCGTGTACTTGTGATGGATTTGCTTGGAGTCTCCAGCAAGGAATTATGCCTCCAATAACATTAGATCAGTGGCAATGTTTTCAGTTTGTGCCCTCTGCAGCAAGGGCTATGTGATTTCCGAAATTTCGTGTTAATGCAATTGACAAATAACGGACGCTTTTCGATGAACAACATCGAATTTAGATGAGAACTAAATTTTACATGGCACGTGCCGAGAGATCCATCCACGGTAGCATTGTGGATGGATGCAACAGTAATGCCTCCATCACCTTTCCAGTAATGTCAGCATGCATATCTTTTGGTGACTTCCCTGAAAAAGGTGGATTTTGTTGCTGTTTTTAACTAATTATTCATTGACAAGATTCCTGACATGCAACATTCCGGCGTCTACAAACTAAGCTGTGTCTGCGGCAGCAGTTACATTAGAGAAACTAAGCGACATGTCTCGGACCGTGTCCGTGAACACAAGGCAGATTTGAAACATGGCAGGACCAATACTTCTGCCGTGGCTGATCATTATTTTAATGCGGCTGGCTCACACGAAATTTATTTCTCTAAGGCGATTGTACTTTGCAAGCCCACTGGCGATCAACGAAGATTCGTTCATGAAGCCATCCATATATACAGACACAAAGACAATTTCAACCGAGAGGAAGGTTATAGACTCAGCAATCTTTGGAAATATGTCATCATCCACTTTTGATGTGTTTTCTTGCCAACCTCTACCCTGCCCATCTCTAAACATTTGTAAACCGCTCTTTGATTGGTGTAGACCTACTGCTGGTGTCGAGCCCTCTCCTACATTAACATTAGCTGCCCCGCCTATCTCTAAACCTTTCTAAACAGCTTGCCCTCAGAGGCTAACCACCCTGTTCCTGATGACGACCGCTTGTGTTGCGATAGAAACGTTGTGATATTTTTACAATTGTATTCTTTTTTCTATATATGTGATTTTACCAAAAGAACCATAGAATATAATTATTCAATAGTTTTACTACTTGTTATTATTATTTTTGTATCGTAAAAAAGTGATATAGACACATTCCTACTTTTTTATACTAAATTACTGGGAAAAGTCGTTCCGATTTATTAAATTTCGTTTTACGCGAGATTTATGAAGAACGCATCCCTTTCGTAAATCATTGCCTGTATATGACCTTGCGAGATAATATACATGGCAGGTCACATATATGATAAAGTGATGTTGCTCGTACTGAGCACTGATGGAAAGCCATTGTTAATAATTGTCTTGCAGCTGTATTGATAAACGGGGTGGTACCCTGAAAGTATGGTTGCCAAGCATCGCATCGATTCGTTTTACAGTAGAACGGCATCTCATGATTTTGGCCATCTTCAGCAGCAGGCCAGGACGCCAAACGGTGCCATCGGCAGCGGGGCGGAGGTCAATCAACTTCTATGAGGGTGGTGAGGCAAAGACCTTTTCGCAGCAACTTCAGCTAATTCGAAATATTGTTAATGAAATTCTCCTTCCTGTGATGTTTAAGAATGTCTTTACTATAAACTTCAGATTTGTGTTGGACAATCCAAGAAGCGCAGTAGTTAACGTTGGTATCTACAAGATCAAAGCTTTTCTTTTGAATGTTTTGTGTTTACAGTCAAGACAAACACTTTAAAGTGTGTTGTTCCCATGTTGAAATTAGTGTTGGTCTATGCTCATCTCCATTGGCTATCTTCACCCAATGTTTTTGTGTGAACATCTTAAATATACGGAATTTATATTCGTTAAAGAGTAAACCAACCTGCAAACCAGCGACCGTGAAGAGAGTTGACAGCAGCAAGTGCGACGGGTATGTTGGGACATTTCACATACACATGGCCCTGCAATGACAACGGTAGGGGCATGTCACTTTTTTTATCTCACAAATTATAGCCCAAGAGTTGGGTCTCAGTCATTGTGCCACGTTACGAACAAACGACCGGTACACATCGCCTTGTCGGTGGAGATGTCGACACGATTTTGACGAAAATCAGATACAAGGGGAAACATGAACCAACACTTGCATCAGGACTTGGGCTTCTGCCCTATGGGGCATTCGGCAAAATTATTCCGAAAGAGCTGATGTGCCCCCCCCCTCCCGCACGCACCTCGGCTGAATTCTGGTCGACGTAGATGTGCACCACGCCCCCGTGCTTGTTGCACTCCTCCACAACGTCGTCCCGGATCTCTTGCACCCAGCTGGAATTCACCTCCCTGTACAGCAGATTACATTACCACCACCACCCCTGCCCTTGAGAAAAGTCAGGTGTCGTTTTTCAATAGCTGAGAAATCTGACAATGGCAAGGAGTGGCGGTGCCAACCGTGATGGCGTCTTGAATCTGACCTTGTTTCTATGTATGGTGCAGCTCAAACCCAAGGCCCATAACAACATTTCCACGAGTGGTTTAACATGGGCCATACCTTTCCCAACATTTTAAACTAATAGTTGTGTAAAAATATCTTAAGCAACGTTGGCCGAGTTGGAGACCAGTACGGGACCGAGTAACAAGGTGCGACTGTGGTGCATGTGGAAGGTATCACTCACGACTGTGGATTGAACATGTTGGAGAGTTGGAAGCACTGAGTGGCGATGGTTGGAGACATGGTGAAGGTTGGGTTCATGGCTGAACAAAAAAGAGTGGGTTTGCCATTTAGTCGTCAGTCAATCTCACAACACACTATTGTTTTTACGACAGTGATAGCAAGGTAATTATAATTTATTATTATTATATTGTCCTCATATTACACTCCATATTTGAACCAAACCTTGCCAGTAATTATTTTAAAGGGAAGAATTCACTATTTACCATCTTATCAATTGTGTAAACTTTTCTATGACTAAACAGCACTTACACAATGAAAATAAAATTGGAAATCCAGTAATATTTACTTGCGGCTAACTATTTGTAATTTAGATATGGATAGTAGGCACCAATAAACAATATCTTGCTCTTGCCAATGTCACAGGTGAATTTAAATCTGCTTGATGAGCGCTCCACTCACAATCGGAAGGTCGTGAGTTCAGATCCTGGTTAGCAGTCGACCCATCATCTCTCCAGAATTGATCAAATGCATACAACTCTGTGGGAAACCAACAGTAGTTGTCTTATCGAAAGACAGGCTCCTGCTACGATAAATAGAATTGCCACCAAAGGGCCACCAATGGAAATGAGCACTGCCCCATCCCTTGTAATAGCAGGGAGACTTTCAAGGACTTTGTGCAGATTTAGCATTTTTGTGATAATTGCCCCAATAGGATTTGGCATATGGTAGTGATGAGAAAGCATGTTGTACGTGCCAACTGGCTCAGTGGCAAGCTAGTCGACTGCCAGGCTGTACTGGTTATATATTAGAGGCGGGTACTCACCACCGTCGCCCACAAAGCGGTATGATCAACTGGCACGATTCAATTTAAACATAAACAATTTTGTCTTCTTCACATGCCTCACTTGTGCCGTCTCGCCTACGCCATCTCTCTTTACGTCTTCTCCATAAGCGTGTTCTCTCTGTATTTTGCCCCAACTACACTCATCTACTGTATGGACTCTTTCGTATCATCTAATTCTCTGCCTTGTTGTCACGTTTGTACTGTTGTTCTTTGTATTCTCATTCCCGTCTGTTACGTGTCTCGTGTGTATTTTCTTCCCTCTTGGTTTTATTCCTTCGTTCATTCTTACCATTAGCCTTAAAGAGACATTTACATAAAATGCACTCGAATTGAAAATATATTTGTACACATTATAAATGAGCACAAGAACCGACTTTAAATTGGTGAATCGCTACAATATAAAACTAACATGTGTTTGTGGGCCACTTTGTCATGTCACTTGATATTTTGACATCAGTGTCACACGTACAGATGTTATAGGATGTCACGGGGTATCGTGATGTCAACGTCTGTATACGTGCTCTCGAATCTGAACCTCAACTCTCCGTCTACCATTCTCACTTTCATGTCACGAATCTTCATTCATTGTCAACAGTTATCTAATCTGTATCTCGTGTATCTCCCCTCACACCACTAATCTGCATCTCTTTATCTCTTGGTGAGCCATATCTTTCAGTGGGCCGCAGCTTGGTGGGCTTCTCTAAGAGACATTTGCAGTGGCACACCTGGCCCATGGACCGGCAGATTTCAAGAACACTGGTGTACATGATACACCCATCTGCTCACCATTTCCCTGCAACACAAAATACACTTACATGCAGCTAGGGAGGGCATTAATGCCTCCAGGGGAATGGCTCCATTCATCTGCAGAGCCTGCTGCGCTACGGGTGGTATAGTGAGCCCAGAACCTGTAAACACAACATGAAGACAATGTTAGGGGGCGAGGAGGACCACTGTTTGGGGGTAACAGATCAGCAATTGAAAAAAATATAGAACGTTTAAGTTGATAGACTTCAAGCAAGTGAGAACTCAAGAGACCAGGATAGTCTAATTTGCAAGAGTGACCTGGGGCATTCGTCTACCAGTAGAGGGCGATTGTTTTGTATAATCCCAATTCAGTCATTTGTGGGCAATTTTTTTTCCTTGGCAACTTTTGACACCGACGCCGGCACACAATGACCTACTCCTGTCAATGACTTCAGGGGATCTTAACGTCCACTGTAAAACAGACAGCACCACAATGATTAAGGTTATTATACCTGCACTGGACTCAAATCATTAACCTCTCCCAGCTAGGCCATATCACTGCTGAATCACAACGGTGGCGAGATGTTTTTAGGACCGTGAATGCACAACACTGCTGGTGTCGGTCCCGTAAGTTTAAATTTGACCGAGCCTAAAATTCGGACCACCGACTTAGAATACCCACATCTCAACCTCGTAATGTTTAACCCTCGCATATATGTATGGTGTCTTGGACACTTGTCATGCTACTAAAGAACATCAAATTATATTCTAAAGATGTCCTTTCAAGCATAATCTAGACATGCTTTGGTACCTTCTACCTGGATCCAGTTTGTTTCTCAACTTTCACTGATGTCCCTCAACAAAACTAAAACACAAGTGTCATTAATAGAGCTAGGAGGCTCTGTATTTGGATATTTGGCCATGCAAGAAGCAAACTGATATAGGGGGAGATACCACTTAAAAGTCCGCAGGCAACTTCACGAACCTACTTGCTGTACTGTGGCCTCTTGATTGTCTCGCAGCCCAGAAAGTTTGAGTCTCAAACCCGACAGTGTATGATCCACCAACAGTTGCCTCCAAAGCTGCACAACTACAGTCAGCTACATATCTCAACACCCTTCAACTATGGCCTACACTAAACAATTTTTTTTTGTTTTACCAGGTAAGGCACACAGTTCTTTTTCAGAAGCGACCTGGCCAGAAATAATATCTCAACACAACAAAGTGGCTTATTGTGTGAACACTCATATTAGCCAAATAATCTAAACGCATGTTTCTAAACGTGGACGGAAAAACCAGAGGACCAAGAGAAAAATCCACATGACCACGGGGAGAACATAGAAACTCCAAATATACAAGCGTCAGCATTGGGATCGAATCCACGATCTCCTGCATACCAGGTGAGGTAGTTAACATCGCCACTGCGGCACCCTGTGCAGATTACAAACTTCCCTAAACTTCCACACCATGCCCCAACCTTCAGATTCAACCTATCACTCCAGATTGCCCAGGTACGGTGAACCCGTGTCCATTGCCACCACCCACCCTCAGCCAGCTTGGCCATGAGCTGCAGGCGGCCCGTGTTGGTGAGATCGATGCCCGTCCTCTCGAGCTCGTCGTTGTCCAGGAAGGACGAACCACCTCCGCCGCTGCCAACGCTGATGATGACATCCGAGTGGTCCGACACGTAGTTCACCTTCATGGGTCGCCCGGCTAGCTCAAAGCCATTCAGCTGCTCCAGCGCCTTCTTGGCGCAGTCGGCGCTTGCAAACTGCACAGCACACGCAAGCACATGCGTCACCGCAGCACACACCGCACGCAGAGCCACACGCTAAGGGACCAATAAACATTCCCTGGGTTTCCATTAAGAGGAGAAATAACTCCACCAATTTGAATAAAACTTTCCAAGCTTGTCTTCTTACTATTTGAGCAACTGACAATTTTCCAAAATGGAATTGTCTCAAGGCCACAACTGGCATCATGTTCTGTAGAGTAGCGTCCTGATTATAATGGTGTGTAATTGAATGGAATGTATATGTAGCTAAATTAAAGATAAAATGTATTCATCCTCACAATCTGTACATCCTTGGAAAGTGATCATCCATCCTTCCTTTCCCTCCATCTGTTCCTCCCTCCCTCCAATCTGCCTCTCTGCCCAGCACTGCCCTGCCCACCACCCAGCAACAAGAAAGCCAGCAATCCATCCAGGAAAACTTTTTCCTAATATTGTACGATCGTGCCATATTAAGACACTGTACATAAACTCGGCATATTTTATCGCCTTTCCACGGAGCAGAACTTATATTTACAAGTCCAGACTGAAGAAGGCCAAGTCAACCGACACTAGGATTGGAACGTTTAGTTCCTACTTTTCACATTGCTAAAATTACTGCATCCCCAAGACAATATTACCTCACATACATATAATTATCCTCCTTGTAGCTTTATAGACCTCAGGGGAAAGTACTTGCATTGAGTGAGTACACATTAAGGCCAGAACGTTAGAATAAAACAAGTCGGCAACCCCATTTCCTCAACAGTACTGAGCTTAATTTGAAGCTTTCGTGACTGCAGGAATCCATACTTTCTGGTTCTTTCGGTAAAGTCACGTAGTTAGAAATAAAATAAAACAGTACTGATGTTCACACAACCACAACAGATACTCAATTAAGGTTAAGCCAAAGTAAATGGTGTCAAAGACAAGTTCAGATAGCTCTTGCCACTCATATCACGCTATGCATGGCTGATTATAATCAGCCATGCATAGCGTGATAATGATCAAAAGCAAAGATCACAGTGCAGCAAAGGAACTATTACTCGAACCGCTCACACACGACCCTCATCACCATGCCCTCACATGCCCTACCTTGACAATACAACTCCACTTACGCACACACAGAATTGAGCAAACAAAATCCTCACAACAGGGACAGGACAAAGCTTCATAGCGATGTGCGTAAATTACCGTTATGAATCCAAAGCCCTTGGACCTGCCAGTCTCGGGGTCCATCATCAGTTGGATGTTATCAATCTGTAAGGCAAGGCCAAGGAGGAGTGAAATCAAATCAGTCATCTTCATGAAGAACACCATAAACAACAGCACAAAATATAAAAATGCAATTAAATTATTACACGGGGGCGAGACAGTAGGATGAACAGCATACCTTCCCGAATGGCTCGAAGATGCCCATGAGCATGGCCTCGGTGATATTGAAGTGAAGGGAGCCCACGTACAGGCGCATGGGCCCCGATGCCAGTTTCTGAAGGTTGGCAGCAGCAGCAGCTGCGGCACGATTCTTTTCAGCCTGTGGTGGTCAAAGCACAGAGGTTTGTCCACGCCTCAAATAGTTCCAGTGGTGTCATCAAAAAAAGATATTAAGACTGGGAAATATAATTAAGAATGCATGGCATCCAAATTTAAAAATGAATGCTTGTGAGATGTTTTTGAAATAGCACGTCCTTTGAGCCTCAGGACGAGTGCTAAATGTTTTATACACAACATTATTGGTTGTTCCGATTTTTCAAAGATTGTAGGAAAGCATGGTTTTTAACCTTCTTGCCTATGGTTATTGGGCACCTGCGGCAGTGTCAATTACTTTGTGTATAATAAGTACATAGTACAGTTTTAAACACTTTCATTAATAAAACAGAGTAATATATAAAAGTAAGAACAATGCCAGACCATAATCTTCAGGTCTTGAATCAATTTCATTTAGGTATGTGTAGCTTCAAAATAAAAAAAATTATTAACTACTATTTTGCATCAGTTATATATTTACCTATAAATGTTAACGGATGGCACAGCTGATGATAGAGTAGCCAATGTGTGTTTGAGAGATGGGGTCCATGCCTATATGATTAAAATGCATGAGAGCTATATTGATAAACAAGTTGCTGGCAATTCAATTGGACTAAACTACGAAACAACTTTCAAGAATTCGTTTTCAGTGTTATCGAATGGTGAGATTATGAATCACTAAAGCAACTATGACAACCGTCTAACATGACATTGTTAAATAGGTTGTCAGATGACATCACAGCACTACCTTTGGTGTAATTTGAACAAGCCTTTATATAACAGATGTAGCATTATTATGTGAATGATTGAGTGCTCATCACTTCGTAATTTATGTAAAATCAGTGGTGCAGTTTTATGCATTATTCTTCATCTGGGTAACATGCATTTCATTGCAAGCCACTGGAATCATTGACACGTAGTACATCGCCTCAGGTACTCATTTGAGGATGAGTCTATCTAGCGGAGTCCCAGGACCAGTTAAAATAATCTTCACTGGTGTTGGCCATGAGCGAGAATCAAACTTGGGTCGATGGGTTCGTAGCGCAGCGCAGTAGCAGTTAGCGCAGCGCGCTAACTGCTACACTATTGCTTATATACGCACACATACAGTAAGGCCGCGACATGCACGAGGGTTCTGTTATTGTTAAAGAAGGTGCTTGTGAAGTACTGCCATTGTACATTTAGTAAGCGAATGTGTGCATGAACGTATTTGTTGAGGGGGGCTCATGAACTGGCGAGTTGACGACCACCCTCCAGCAACCAGGGATTTCAGCGCATGCCAGGCGGCTTAAAACACTCAGTAGTGCATGAACTTTTTTTAATCTATCAATTGATGTATACAGGTCGAAAGGCCCAGAATATCAAGAGATCAGCAATAAACAGCAATACTGAAGGTGTAATAGGAATTAATAGGTTTCTTAAATTGAGAAAAGCTTTTAGAATTGCAAAGTTCATCAGTGCAAGGAAAGAATCAGAAGAAAATCGTTTGCCTTGCAGTATGGTGTTGAACATAGCATGGATGAGACAAAAGTCAGTCTGGTCGACCTTAACATGGAAGGAGCAATTGATGAGTGAAATTCCTCGGAACAGTAAAGATGGAAGTAGAGATATGAGAGTAAGAAGGAGGTGACTGACTGCCGGTAAGCTAGTGACCAGTGATGATCCAGCGAGTGCTGGATTAATCAACCCAACTGCTTTACATTAAATTATATCAAGTGGAGTGAGGTGCTCCACCATAGATATAACAGTGATCCGCAGACAAATGTGTGAATAGTAGTCAAAATTCAAAGTTTAAGAGGGCTTTGACAAAGAAAAGCAAGCAAAGCTTATTCAATGTATCCTTAATCAGATGCATAATATAGCCATTCCACTAAAGGTCAAACAGATGAGATAACACATGCAATCATGTGCAGGTGCATTGCAGCAGTGTGGGTCTATTGCATGTGTACTTCGATGTGTATACGCATTCACGTGTAAACGCATGCAGGTATGTGCAAGTGCATGTGTGCGAGTGTGTGGCGGGTTATGTGTAAACACCTGCGATGCCTGCACGATGATGGGCACACCCAGCAGCCTCTGTCCCGTGAGCCCGATGGCCAGTGGCACCGAGTCAAGATCCACAAATTCGATGTACGCGATGCCCTTGGAGCGGCGCGAGTTGCGGTCCGAGATGAGGCGCACGTCACGCACCTGCAGGGCAGCACAAAGGCCAATGATCGCCGTGCACATTAATGTTTAATCCATGGCGAGTGTGCACAGCCTAAGTAGGACGAGATTAAGCTGTAAGGAATTTGATTACTACACTCTGCTTTAAACAAGTATCTCTGGCTGGTTGTCATTACTGTTCATCAGCCAGTCTTTCCACTATTGGATGCAGCTACTTGTCCAAAATTAGGAGGAAATTACTGCAAAGTAGCAAATTGTTTCAACGTTCCAAGAGGCTTGAGGTTAATGTTAATATTAGGCATGTAACTATTCACCCTCCTGCCCATAAGTAATACAATTATTTTCAATTATTAAATTCATTCTTTTTGCATCCATTTGAATTATATGTATAATTAAAAAAAATATATATCTCTTTTGTACAGTTTTGTTGATTGCATTAGTTAATATGTAACATTAGTATATGATTTCCATGAAGCACAATTGAGTCTTGCGCACACTAATATATATGTACCCAAGCATAGTAATCCACATGACTGCCGAATTTGTGCAGTTTTACAATGTCTAGGCAAGCCCATAATTAAGAGGTAACCAGGACGAAAACCTTTGATTTTACTACATCTCACATTCCTTTTTATTTCTACGTATTGAAATATTTTAACTGGATCCCTTGAGAGGAATATTTAATTTGAAATGGTGTCCAGGAGATATTGCTAGACCCCATAGCTCTTGCAACAGTCAATATTGGACCTCCATGTTCCATCATTACCATCATCACATCCCCCACATTTAATGTGTTATCAAGGACCACTATTGGAGTACCTTGCCAACAAGCATTACACTGGTCAACACACTTTTTCTGGCATAAGGTATTCCAACGGTTTTAAGGTAATTTTGGGGTGCTGATCACATCAGGTTTTTGATATATCAAATATTGCATTTTCAATAAAAACTGCAGAAGAAAAATATAAATGTGGATATCTACATAAAATGATATTATAAACACACTATCTTAGAAATTCAGCACCATATTTTAACACTAAAGCAGTCACTGATTCGCAACAACTTGCAATCATAAGTGACAGAGTTAATTTCGGGTAAAATCAATGAAAATGGGGTATGCCGATAGCATAAAAATGATGTGATAGAGCAAATCTGAGATCAGATTTGGAATCAGCACCCTGAAATTAGTCTAAAACAGCTGCAAAAGTCCAGGCCAGAAAAAAATGTTTTTTGTGTTGACCAGTGAATTATTCTTCCCCCTGGTCTATAACCTGAGTACTACTCCCGTGCCAATCTTGGTCACAAACTCACGTCTGCTGATTACATCTACAGCACTTTCCTGTCACATTCTATTCTACGACATTTTGCTCTCCGTATGCTGCAATTATATTGTCTAGATTAAATGGTATTTCATTAATAAAAACGGGCACTAATTTAGGGATCACTCTCCGATCTCCAACATGGTCAGCGTTTACCACTAGTGTACAAACCACATGGAAGAGGTACAAAAGTGTCGCCTTGAAAGTGCAATTTCTTTAAAAGCATTAGACTATTAAAAAAATGTAATACAAAAAAAAATCTATGTAAAACAATGACTATTTAGCAGGTGACCAAGTTAGTCACCGTGGTTGAAATTTGTGTTTTTGTTTGAAAAAGTGCCATTGACGGATAGGTTATGCAAATATAATTCGATGGATAAAATACATAATTTTCAATATTTTTTCTGAGTTCAGACTAGCATACCCAAGTCCTCATTAAAATATATTACCTCTTTTCAAATAACTGTATGTAAGATACAGCAATTAGAAGATCACATTTAAGAAATAAATGTGTAATAATCCTTCGGAGACGGCTTCGGAATCGGTCCTCTTTATTTTCACCTCCACGATACACTTATTTCACTCACGCTCCGTTGTTGGCAGACAACAGAGAGCGGCAGACTTCACACCAGTTCCCACCGCGCACGTGGCACCCAGAGCCCCCGTACGCGCGTGGCTCTCCCTCTGTTCGTTTCCCAGTCTGCTCTCGATCGTTCTCTCTCACTCTCTCTTAATCCCTTCGTCACGTGGTCCCCCCCCCAGCCAATCCTCCATGGACAGCCTCGACCGTTCTCGATGGTTCCCTGTCACTCCCGGGACCACGCCTCTCATCCGGATCCCCATTAGCTGGGGCCCCGAATGGCTAGGCCAGTCACTCCTGATGACATGCCGTGATAACGCCGGGCCCACGCTCCCTATCTCAACCCTTATTGGCTACAAAGCAGGACCGGCAAGCCAATCCCCACGTGAACCCTCTATGGCTGTTATTACAAATGTTTTGATATTCTTTGGATATAAGGACATAGCCTTGGAATGTATGTCGACCTTCTTTCGCACTGTATGTAGCCAACCACGCTAATCGGAGGAATCCAAAAACAAAATGAACACTCCTTTAAAGGACTGGCATATCAGCTAATAACTGGAAACGCAGCGATTGATAGGTGGGGAATGGGTAAGAGCGTGAGCTACGGCACCTTGCCCACAGCGGAGAAGAACTCCTCTAGGTCCTTGGCACGGATGCGCGCTGCAAGCTGCATGCAGAACACGGTGCGGCTGTCTCTCTCCTCCGGGGTGAGCGTGCTGGTGGATGGCCTGCGTGAGCGAACACACAAAACCAAAACAACACTTTTACGATGGGAAAACAATGAGTTCATGCCAATGATGCCTTGTGGTGGGTGTTGTGATTACAATACTCGACTTCTCAGCCTTGCCAATTGCTGTTCTGGGATTGAAAAAAAAGTGAAAATCACCTGTGGAAAAAACTTGCCTCAACTTTGGAAATGTGCCACCACTGGCTTAGGGCCCCCAACAAATGAGAGCCACATCATTGCTCAATTGAGCAGAGGTAATTTGACTTAGAGTCAATTTTAGCAGCAACAATTTCCAAACTGTGTTTATGTTGTAAGGCAAGGAACCGACATTGTGAGCCCCAACAGACAGCAGAGCAGCACATTAAGCAAGGGTTGGCCATAAAATATAATAAAAGAGATATCTTAACAGAACAGTAATAGTCATGCTCTGTAAAAAGTGGTCATCTGTATGTCAATCCTAATCATGCAATATATTTAACCATGTTATCACACAACTGGCTAGGCAAAATTAAGTGAACACAGTAGTGTTTAAATTATGTAAATGGCGATAATTTTGAGAATATAAAACTCTGTAAATTTGAGAATTCAATTTAAGTCAATGTCCAGATTTAAATCTGAGATCTCAGTCGTGCAGGTGGAAAAATGTACCTCAGAGCATCACAGCATTGGCTCTTTTTCTATGCACATTAGTATGAGCCAAGAATGTCTGTTTGTGTGTAACGCGCGTCACTTCACATGCCGCACCCCCAGTCATTAATATTCATGAGCGGGTGGATTTTTACACTTACGCAGAAGATCGAGCAGAATTTTTTTTCACAAATTCTACGTTTCTTTATTGAAACTTAATCTAATAATTAATTATACGCAGCAACTAAGTGGATTTGGTGTCCATTTATTTATTCAGCACTTGACAAAAGGTAAGTCTAATTCATGCTTCTACATTATGTTAAAATAGACATTTCTCGGTGATTTTTCAGATAGTGTATCGAATTCAAATTTATTTCAACCCCAGCCACCAAAAGCAGAAGAGAATAAAGTATCAGAGCAGTGAATTTGAACAAATTGAAGGTCAGTTATATACAGTGCTACAGTGAACTGCAGTGAAGCGTTCGATGACGTACTTTTGTGCAAGATTGACTGTCATTAAATTTACACAAGATACAATTATACTCTGCTCAATTTTTTCGTTAATTTTACAGCTTCCGTCCTCAGATGGGCAAACAAGCTAGTAAACAAATATGTGTATATAGTGTGTATTTGTATGCATGCTACATACCTTGGGGCATTTCCAAATTTTCCTCTCGGGCTTCTGCTCTTGCTACGGGAGCGTTTGTGGCTGCAAGACAGCACAGGCAATGAGTCACACAGGTTTGGCAAAACTGAAGACTGGCTTTATTATGGAAGCATTTCATGTCAACCACTGAGTTTCCGCTAAGAACTCGAAGCAATAAACTGAGCATAGTCAAGTAAAAAATCACATTTAATTAACTAGTTGCTTCCCAGGGTAGAAATATTTAGCTTTAAGCAGCCCCCAATATTTTGAACTGTGATTCATGTATTGTTTTTACAGAAGCATCCTGAATAAACAGTCATTGGATATAATCCATGTAGCTTATTTTTACCTACAAGATATTCAGTGCTCTAAATCTGTCTAACAAAATATAACTGGTATGAAACATTTTTCTAACATCACAAAAAAATATCCATTGTAAGCATAAAAGTTCTCAGCCTTATCCAGACCACCAGCTCAAATAACTTAACGCGTAGCCATTTTGGCATTAAGATCACCATGGTTTGAGAAAAATGTGACTATCTAAACTCTTTTTGAGTTTGTGATCTAAAAGATAAAATGACCGCACATTGTTCTTTTGAGCTGGTGGTCTAGATAAGGCTGAGAACTTTTGCACATGCAACGCACACCTTCGTGTTGTTAAACTTATTGGGTTCGAGCCCGCATTCATTTTTCTGCTGCGATTAGTTTGCTCGCCATTTAGAGATATGAATTAAACATTTTTGTTTATGAGACAACATACACATTTTTATCCTTCCTGATAATTTTCCCCATTAACTTTAACACGAATATATAAATTATTCAGATATAAAACACAAATTGGAATCCTGATGACTGAGAGATAATTGGATCTCAGAGGAGACCAGGTCAGGTTCAGATACACATTGCTACCGATAAAGCTGTGCTCAAAATACTACAAAACAAATGGTTAAATGGGATAGCAATGCAGTTTGTTAAACACTAATCGAACACAAAATACATATACATAGATCCTCCATTCAGTTTCGGAGAAAGTACTGTGAGCAAACGTAAGGATAACACGTGTGCCTCACAGCAAGAAGGGCCTGGGTTCGTTTCCCGACTCGGGCGCCTTTCTGTGTGAAGTTTGTATGTTCTCCCCCTGTCCTGCATGGGTTTCGTCGGGGTTCTCCGGTTTCCTCCCATAGCTAAAAGAAAACATACAATGTAACTGGTAATGGCTAAACATCCCAATGTGTAAAAATTACCTTTAAATTACTCAATTGAAATTAAACATAGCAACATCTCCCCTCCTGAAAGGTCTTGAGACTCAGTGAGGTTGTTGTCCTGGGTAAACAAGCATAGTAATAATACAACTGGATATGGCCAGCCCCACATCTGGCCACTTTTATACCCCCCAGTGCCAATATTAACACAGAAATACAGGAGAGGACCAAGCTAGGTCTGGATACCTTTTGCCACCGATTATGTGCATTTACAGGAATTGTACGGCAAGTCGTTAAGATTGTTAGCTGTTGTTAGCTGTGGCCAGGTTTGTAACAGATTATTATTAACCACTACAACACTCCTCTCACACACACCCCTGAGATTTTCACCACACACACACTCCCCACACAGACTCAACAGAATCACCACGGACACTCGCCACACAAATCTTGAACAGACTGTTGAAGCAAGTGATGTTAGCGAGGACCTATGAATGCCAGAACAGCACGCAAGGTGGACCAATGCATTTGTCTCCCCAGTTCTGTTTACACACCACACCAAGTACTCATTTTGAAGCGAGTCGACCAAGGCGAGGCCCAGGGCTGGTTCAAATATTCATCACTGATGTTTGCCATAAGCGGGAATTGAACTCTGATTGCCAGGTTCGTAGCGCAATGCGCAAATAACTGTGCCACCGCCACACACAAAGATCCCCCATAAAACCTTTAACAGACTGTTGGGGCAAGTGCTGTTAGCGAGCACCTATGAAGGCCAGCACGGTACAAGGGGGTGGGGGGGTTGCCAGCACCACGCTTGGCCGCCTTTGTCTCCCCAGTGGCGATGTTTACACACCGCACCAGGTACTAATTTGAGGCCGAGTAGACACAGGGGAGGTCCAGCACCAGTTCAGATAATTGTCACTGGTGTTGGCCGTGAGCGGGAATCGAACTTGTGTCGCCAGGTTAAGTATCCCAGTTCGTAAAACGTTGCGTCCTCGCTCCCCACACATTACCCACACACTCTCTCTCACACTCACATTGGGCTGCGGAAGCGTCCACGCTCCTCGCGGTGCCGGGTTCGGTCCCGGCTGCGACTACGGCTGCGGCGGCGGCGCTCGCGGCTTTTCCTGCGCCGCCGATCTCGGCTGCGGCTGAGTTCACGACAAGCGTTAGCAAATTAACAGCGGGCAAGCGGACTGGCAAAGAATGAGTGGGAGACAGCTGTACCTGTGAAGGCATCGGAACACTGTCATGCTCATGGAATGCAGTCAAATAATCTTGAATGCAGTTTGTTTCGGAATCCACGTTAGGTTTTATGTGCGCTTGGCAACATAGTGGCCAATGTGCCTCGTAGAAATCGAAAAAAATGGCTCTTCGTATGATTTTTATTGCCGACCCGGTGGTATGCCATATGATAGGTGTTGCCTAACAATGCAGGGATCAACATATCTTGGCACTGTCTGCATCAAAGTATTGCTCAAAATAGTAGACAATATCAAGACAAAATAATCAAGGCATTTCCAATGTACGGTAAATATTAAGCAAAACCTGGCTAAAGAAGACCATGATCATCAGCCATGGACTATCCACTCTGGGATGAAGGCCCCCCTCACTGTCACCATCCCTCTAAGAACAGCACATGAACTCATCTCATCGCTCCATCTCCACGGTGGTTGCCCTCTTGAACACATTCACTACTGCCATCCATCACGAGTCTCATCCATCAGCCATCATCTTGTATAGCAATGTGTCTTGCCCAAGACGATCATCGTGTATTTATCCTATTAAAATGAATAGAATTGCTTACCTAGCATTACTAATTTGTGTTTTGCTGTACATTTCGACTATTAGCTGTAACAGATATTAAGTGAACCCAAGAGTTGGGGCTATACCCACAATATCTATGAAAATAGAATTCATTTTAGAAGCTATCAAATTATAGGTCGAAATCAGTAGAACTACAACACTGTGAATATTAATTTCAAAATATACATTTAGGAATTATTACATTTCATAGCAAGAGATTATTTTGTCAAGAAAATAATCTTATTTGCAAATCTAAAGTTCTAAGTTATGGCTGCCATTTACGATGTAAGATAAACAATTGTTGATCACCCCCAGGCTGCATGTAACCTCCACAAAATTCTAAAATTAAAGATACGCTCACGGGTAACAGTTTTCTAGTGGCGATGAAGTAATGTGTGGTATAAACTAGTGGTTTAATGAGAAGACAAAATGTTATTTCAGGAGAGAATAAAGACTTGGAACATGAATGGACCAAGTGCATCATAGTTCAATGGGACGTGGCATAACTGTAACAGTTTTATCAAAAGCACTCATTATATTCTATGTCAGGCTATCAATGTTTTTAGCACCCCAAATATATTACAACTGATATTGAAATCCCGTACATTCATTGCATATAGCATCCTACTGTTAACTCTATTATTAGGTTACCTTCACGATTCACATGGCCACCTCTGGATTTAGTACATTGATTTGAAATGGGTTCGGATGACAACATTCAAATGTTGGCAATGTGCATCTTGCTTTGAGCATGCTCAGATGGTGTCCGTTTGTGTAGAGAACCAGTACCCACCTCCTCTTCTTGTCTCTGCTTCTGCTGCGACTCTTACTCTTCTTTTTCCTGGGAACAGGCACAGGACACATGCACAAAATATAAGACCATGGCCTCCGCAGCCCATGTCACAAGAGCAGGCAGCGAACAAACCTGGAACCTGCGTTAAATTAATCACACTGCAAAAGAGTAAACAAAAAGAACAAGCACGCTATTGTTATGCAACAAAGATGGTCTATTAAACACATTTGTAAGGCAGTGGGGGACCTTAGGCCTGTGACATAGGAATCAACAAGAGCAAACGAGAGTAAGATAAGTTAACATTAATAATCTTCTTGAACTGTCAGACTGAGGCTGGAGACAAATTGAGTTTCTAAGAACGCTCCTCGATAACATAGCTAGAAAAATGAGACCCTGACAATGCAGAACTTTACAAGAAAGCCTTAATGCAATCATTATCCACTGTGCAAAAAAATCTAAGTTGCGAAACCAAATGGCTTTTCACTGTCATTAGTCATACCCGTGAAATTTGACAAGGATCTTCGTAACACGGTCTCTTGAATAAATTTATAAATTCCCTATGCACAACAGAGCCATACATGCTGTGGAACTTAGGAAGCATTATTATAGGACGTTTTGCAATATATTTCAAGGGTGCATCATACTACAATGGTTAGATCTGTGGGGATAAGGGGAGGATTCTTACTTTGTGTCGGTTAGCGGGTGTCCATTCGCTTCACCCACTTTGGTGGCCTCCTAAGCAGGTTGATAGAATAACATCATAATGAAGCAGTCAACAGATTACAGGATACGCAGGGAGGGAGGTGGGGAGGAAAGGAGAAACAAAAACATATAATGCAAATAGCATATTAGCAAAGTTGCAAACAAATACTTTTTTAATTCAATTTTTTTTATTACCCTCCAACACCAGCAACCTGGACTGGACCACAGTATGTCAGGTGGGGTCTTGGCTCAAAAACCAGGGAGTGGGAGAGGTAGGAATCCAAGCTAGAGAACAAAAGCCGCCCTTCCATTTTCAAGTACCAAGGACTAAGTCAGGGTGCCCAGGATCGGTTAGTAAACCCTCAAAGAAGGGCCCTCTGATCTTCCAATGCTGCCAGTTTCCATCTTGAGCAGAACGACCGCTCGCGGGGAGCCTTTGCACTCCCATCTTGTCCTGAAGCAAAGGGGCATTTATATTTCTTAGTATCGTCAAACCAGGCAAACACGTTCTCTGCTTTGCTTGTGTCATTAACTTTATCATCATCATCATCATTACTAGAGAATGACTAGGCATGTGTCGTCGTGTGGCTTTTTTCCACCATTAACCACTGGGCTGAATGCCAGTTGGCCTCTTTAAATAACATGCAGTTATCACATTTTCAGTGTTCCGTAAATTGGGACACACAAACAGGCAGCAGTCATTTGCTGGTGATGCACAGTAGATGAAAGCCAACTGTCAAAAGCATTTGAGAATAATCAACTGCAGAGCAATGTATATTTTTGTTCATTTCAATTTTGAATGAATACCCAAGTGCAGATGTGACCAGTGACAGTCACTCTTACCAGTGGCGCTACAATTTTCCACGACTTTACAAATCAGCCTCGTCTGCTGTCGCTAGCTTGTGGTGTGATGAGACAGCTCAGTCCATGAAAGTCAACAAAAAATATTAAGGAACCCCGTTACCACACGAGTCTGAGGGTTTCAGACTGGGATCATAGCTGCACTCACGCCAGAACGCGACATATCATTTGGAAGGGTCTACGGAAAAAATAAATGGGCAATTCATTACAAACACTCACACTCATTACAAATGCATTGCAGCAGCACAGTCTCTCCTCTCCCTGATACAAGCTTTAAATCATTTGTTAATTTACTTTCATAATTTTTTTTCACCATAAACATTAACCACAAAGTTTAACGACACACATTTTAGAAGCTCCACAAATTAAACTGCAGGTATTTATAAAATCACAATAATTTTGACATCATTATGACAGTCTAAGCAATGCTAAAGCTAGTATTTGAGATACAATGCTGCTTCCTCTAGCCCACACACAGAGCACCGTTGAGACTCACCGTCTTTTGGAAAGGTGCCTCCAGCATGGCTTCAATGTCAAAGTCTTCAGCCATGTTTATTGGTGTGCACTGGCCTTAGGCTAAACTGTAAACACAAAAACACCATGGTCAATAAATGAAGAGACACACATTGCAGTTGGAAATCGTTTGGCCAGCAGTGACACTCAATGACAGGGTCTGAGAATAAATCGTAATCTGGTTGTGGTGAGACATTAGGGTACAAAGTTAACTATATTGGGTTTGCATTGGAAAGTACCTTGGTTGTCATGAAGGTGTAATTTAAATGATACCCAAAATAAAAGTAAAACCCATGGCATAAGTGCTACATCACAATGTAAAAGTGAAAACTTTGAACGTTTGAAATTATGGGCATTCTAGAATTTGTATATTCAAGAACAATACACCACATTGTCTTTTAAGATAAATTAACAGAAGCTCTTGAACAGCAAATTCGAGCATATTTTGTGAATCTTAATTTTGTCCCTTTCAGTATGCATTAGCGCAGGTGCCTGAGACTATTTACTGTCCAAGTACACAAGAGCATACATGAAGCAAATACAATTATAGTATTCAATAAAGTATGTTCGTATAATTTCAGTGTCATTATTTTAATATTTAAAGAATGCAAGTTATTTCATCATTACTAATACTTAATTGCAGTATTTAAATTACTTTGCACCATAAGTTGACAGCTGTGACCTGGTAGCACTGAGATAAAATAACTACTCACAATCGGAAGGTTACACGTTTTAATCCCAGTCGAGGGTTATGTTAGTCCTTCACCTGCGGTTGCACTGTGAAAGAATGGTCTGTGCGACGAGAATGTGGAATTCCCACCACAAGACTCTGAACCATCAAAAGGAGCTCAGAACTGCCCACCACGCTTATTTGAGTAGGAGGGGAAACCTTTAAATTTTAAACAGCCAAGAGCTCGTTCAGGATATTTTCAAAATCTTCACTTATCTGGATCATCGCTATCACTCATCAGGAGTGTGACAGCACAAGTGCCGAAAGATATGCACACCGAACCAGAGAAAATCCAGAGCCAGTCACCTACCCAAAATTACAACTCAAACTTATAATGACCCATGGAACGCTTTTGACCCACCGATGGTTGGGTGGGTCTTTTTTGGAACGCCTTTTGGAAAATGTTTGGTCTTTGCTGTCTTTCCAGTGTTCACCAAACGATTAATTAACAGTTGGCTTTAGTTTGGGTAACATTAACCGCACAGCCAAGGGTGGTGTTACGGTTGCCTGCTGCTTAAGTTCTTGCATGGCCCGAAAATATCCATAGATCATTCTATTTATAGTGATCCTGAGGACTGATATGCCTGTGATATTTGTACAAAAGTGCTAGTGTGCACTTCTAACAAATAAGAATGCGCGCATACACGACACTGATGGGGACATTCCACACGCGCATAGCAACATGCTATGCACACACAGAAAACATCTCAAGTGCGACTACTTGTACAAGTATAGGAGGACTTTTTTGTTAATCGTCTGTAGGATGAGGGCCTCCACAAACCATGAGGGCTGTGGGGGTTAACCCTACTTCACCAGTGCGGGTTGAAGGCAGGCATGTATACGAGGTAGCAGAGTAGGATTAATATTTTAACAAGTAGACGTAATCATATTCTTTGGGTCTTTCGGTAAAGCCACGTAGAAAGACCCAAAGAATATGAATTCCTGCAGTCACGAAAGCCTTAAGTCAAGTTTTAAATAGACGTAACATTGTTGGAACTGCCCTCGATGACCCACCACGTAGCGCCCCTCCAAGCAAATAAAATAGTGCAATTCTACATGTAGCATACAATCGCAAAACAGTCAATGTCTTCGCGTTATTACTAACGCTGAGTTGTTCTCATTGCAGCGAGGCAGCCTGATAGAGCGTTCCACGTTACTGTGACGGGGACTCGTGCACAAGCTTCCGCTGAAAACGTGGTTCAACCGGAAGTGTGCACGATACGTGCTGTACTGGGTACAGTAAAGTCGTGTGCTACATCTTTATTTACCCACTTAGGTCATAAACAATTATCATCTTTTTTTTAAAGATAGATTTTGTTCGTAGTTGCCGAGTATCTTTTAAAAACAATGTAATACTTAAAACAATGGTGGTTGTTTTTTTTTAAACGGGAGATTTGAGAAAACCCCTAATGGCGACGGTCTACACTAAAGATGTCGACATACGTAGGTCAAACTCCAAAGTATTCTGTATTCACTATTTTTATTATTTTACCAAAGCCCACTGAGCTACGTAGCTCTTTTTAAGAAGCGACCTGGCCACAAATGATAGCTAAACAAAGTGGTTAATCACGTGGGCGTGCGTTCTACGTTAGCACAGCAGCTTTAGCTGTGATGCAGAGACCAATGTATAAAAGGGGGTTACAATGATGCTCCTACATCATACATTAATTACCTGAGGCTCCAACCAAGATTTAAAAGGATCTTTAACATTCTATTGAGGTTCTGTGTTGATGCCCGAGAGACAAGTTTGAAGAGCGGGAACTTCTCGCGAAGTCACCCTAGTATTGTTATAAATATTGTATTATTGGAGTAATAACCAAACTAAAATATGTATGTACTGTATGGTGAACTTCTTTCGCACCGTACGTCACCAACCATGCTAATCGGAGGTAATAACCGTAATTATAGGCGAGTTGCAGTAATCGTAGCAGGCAGTAGTTATGAGGGCATTTAATAACAGTACCTCATGAACATTACATCAGCACTTGTGAGGGGGCAGTAACATAAAATAGCTTACAACAGTAATGAGGGAAACTAACAATAGTACTACTGTACCTCACGAATATTGGTAAATACACGAGTTATGAGGTAAATAGCACTCGCAACCGATATTGTAAATACAGCAGTAGCGAGGAAAAGTAACCACAGCACCTCGCTAGTAACGTGTGGCAATGCTGTTAAATCGCTATAACATCGCCAACATCGTCATCATCGCAGCCATCAACATCGTCACCATTGTCATCATCGCAGCGATCGCAGCCATCAACATCGTCACCATCGTCATCATCGCTCACCTCGTCGCTCTGGCGGCAGTTGCGTGTGGATGTGTGGGGGTGGGGAGGAGGAGGTTTATTGTTAGTTGAGGGTGGGTGGTGCTGCTGCTGCTGGTGGTGATGATGGTGGTGGAAGTCTCCGCGGCTTCTCGGCCACCCGGGACCTTCTGGAAGCGCCTCTCGCGGGGGGCACCGCTTCGTCGCTCGCCCCTCTCGCTCTTAATTTGGCGGGAAAAGACGATTTTTCTCTCTCTCTTGCGAGGCAACAATACGTGAAGGGGAATCCGTAACGATGCGGCGTGCTTGCTCGGTTGGGGGTGTTGGTTTGTTTGCGCGAGGCCTTGCCCCTGAGTTGCCCCCCCACTCCGTACGAGCGATGAAATTCCGTGCCGCGTCGCAGTCGCCGTCTCTCGCTGCGCTGTTCGGCCTCAAAATGGCGCCGTGACCCTTGTGGTGGTGGCTGGGTGGGTGGCGGGTGGGGGGCGATGCCACGTGCTTCCGGTGTGACGTCACGTCCGCCAGCTGGGTCACCCACCACGTGCTTCTCTATTCCACACGTTGTGTTGTGGGTGATGGTGGGTTAGGAACCCCCAAAATTTAAATTTCGATTTAAAGCTTTCGTGACTGCAGGGATTCATCTTCTTGGTTCTTTCGGTAAAGTCACGTAGAAAGGAAATAATACAATAATAAAACACAATTCTCACTGTATTTTATTATGTTCTATTTTGATTATTTTATTATTTCCCTTCTACGTGACTTTACGGAAAGAACCAAGAAGGTGAACCCCCAAAATGTATTTGCCGAGAACCCGTTACTTAAAATTGGAACCCCTTTTTTTTGCCAGTATGAAAGAAAACATTAAGAATAGGTGTTACGCTCTCTGGCAATACAAACAGGTGTTATGGTATTCATATCTATTCTTGGTTCTTTCGGTAAAGTCACGTAGAAGGGAAATAATAAAAGAATACAAATATAAACAATACAGATTCTCACGAAGTTTCGACTGCAACACAAAAGAACGTCGTGAGAATTTTTTTTGTTTTATGTTTTTTTATTTTATTATTTCCCTTCTACGTGACTTTACCGAAAGAACCAAGAATATGAATCCCTGCAGTCACGAAAGCTTTAAATCAAAAGGTGTTATGGTGTTAAAACACAATTGAAATATTTTGCAAGGATATGTCTGCATTAACCACACCACACACGTGTGGCGAACATGCATACATGCTTCTGATAATACATGCATTCGTTTAACACGTCGGCTTCCACGACCAATATCCATATAGGTGTTTTGGGTTAGATCGCCTAAATATAAATGCGTCGATAAACCCGTCACCACCCGACAACCGATTAGTAAGGTCACAACGCCAATGCGTTACTAGTGTAGGGCTTGAGATAACGTGCCACGCATCCCCCGCCTCTGTTGCTATGCGAGCAAGCACAGTACAGTGGGGTGATGTGAGGTAATGGTTGTTGTTGTGACTTTAGGCGAAGTGGGTCGTTAAGAGTTGAAACAGGTGTCTAGGTAGCCGGGAGGACACAGGCCAGTGATTGGCTGAAAAGGTAATTCGGCATTAGCGGGCGTTGCTCCGGTGGCGAAAACAAGGCCACGTGACACGGGGGCCAGGGGGCGAGCGATAAGCGGGGGGGGGGGGGGGGTAATTAGGGAGATTAATTGGTGTGGGGATATAAGCCAGAGCGCAATGGAGAAAGGGGAGTCCTGTACGAGTTGGCGTTGTGGATGGAGCTGCAGCAACGGTGCCCAGGTGGAAAGACAGTGTGAGTCGAGTAAAGCGTAGAGAGACAGTGTTAGTAGAGTAAAGCATGGAGAGACAGTGGTAGCGAGAACGCAGTGAGCAACCAGGGTAGCCATGCATCGGAAGGATGCAGAGTAGGAGAAACCGTAGAGACGACAAGCGTAGCGATAGTGAGGCAGAGCGACGCGGAGCGACGCGGAGTGAGGGCACGTGGCGCAGCAGAGCGACGCGGAGCGGGGTCGCGCCGAGACGCGGAGCGGTGGCGCGGCGAAGGTGGACTCTTAAGAGGAAAATAAAGAGAGAGAAAGATGACCCTTGTACGAGTCCTGCACTAGTACAACACACCGGTGTGATGGAGAGCAAATCCACAAATGTGGATTTGGCAGATTTAACGACGTGATCTAACCCAACAAAAACCTATTATGGAATATATGCATTCACTTTGAAACTGATTGGCTTACATCAGAGGTCTACACCAAAGGCAACACTTTTCGCCTTTTGGCGTTCTCTGGTCTGACACTGGTGAGACTGTGGATCGGGCATTGCGTCATTATACGTTGTTACGCTCTGTTCTGTATGACCACAGTAGCATCATGGAGAGTTTTTTTGAAATTTTCCATTTGTGCATCAAGTATCCGCATCTGCCATGGTTTGTGCTTAGATGCGTTTTAGGATGGACCATGAGCTTCGTTAAAGATCAAACCCAGGGTCTTCTGCGTTGAGTCTTTCATGAGGTGTTTGTGAGTTATTTTGAACTCCATTCAGCTCTCCAAGCTTCCTCGGAATTGAACTCTCATTGTGGAAGTGTTAAGCGCGTGGGTCCATAAGGGCTTGCGTGACTTCAAGTGATGGCGAGGGACGTTATTGAGGCCCTAATGAATGTGAAGGCAAGCTCGTGTTTCAATGAGATGCGTGGACTCACCTGTGTTGTGTTAATAGAATAAAAATATACTGGAGGAATGCGATGAGCTATAAAGCTCTTTTTCACAAACGTCCAATAGAGAAAGATCAGAACGTTACAACAACAAAATACAAAACATGGTAGGAGTCCAGGTAGGAGTGTAAAGTATAGGAAATGTAAACAAATAACTTAAACTATATACAAATAATACTCAACTATTATCTTATTTCGCAGAAGCAACCTGGCCACAAATGATAGCTCAACGAAGTTACCTGTCACGTGGACATTTATAGCAGCAAAATAATCGAGACGCATGTTTCTAAATGTGGAGGGAAAAACCGGAGGACCCAGAGAAAAAAAATCCACGCCACTACGGAGAGAGAGACATGCAAGCACGCAGTAAAGCTTCTGGATGTCTGACTACAGAAAAAACACAACAAATCAATAACACCACCTTAAAAGAAAAACACAAAGGGCAATATTTCTGGTAATGGCCATCCATAACACAGGCCAGAAAAAAACTGGATAATAAGTTGGAGACTGCACGTTACACCCCTGAGGCCTGATGAGAATTACATTTTTCAAATGTTTTCTGATCAATATTTAAATAGGCATGATGTAGAGAATCAGTAACATGCAAAGCTTCAATAATCAACATTTCTAAATTAAGTCATAGTGAAGGTAACGTTCTAAAATATTGCTGCCTCGTTGCTTTATCGGGTTCAATGCATAATCCACCGAGCAATGCATTCCCGGGCCCAATTACCCAATTACTTTTGGACAATTCCACGTGAGGTGTTTTATGCAACCAGCCACGGTATATAAAAATATAACACAGTACTGTTATACAGTAAATCTCATTATGCATACAGTACTCAATCAAGCAACAGTGAGCTGGTGGTTTTGTTATCCGTGACCTAATCTGAATTAAGAGGTCCAATATTTCAAAAAAGCCGAGTGATTATTTTTTTAACAATCATGACACCCGTTAGTGAGTGCCGCGTTTTAATATTAAAATTGGGCAAATTTGTGATTGCGGTTTGAAAACTGTGATTTAATTATGATCTACGACTACTTGATGTAAGAAGATTTTTAGCCGTTTAGTGGTGTACTTTAATCAGGTGAGGGCCCTTCAAACGGGTACAATATTTCACAAGAAACACCTGATTGTTGGGCTACACTGCTACATTATTATTTGAATTGTCCACTTAATAATCTTTACTGTTGGGAATTCGGATACAACAATTACACTTATTGTTCCTTTCTTGCAAAAAACCACATCATATGAGTTTTTTATGTTCACGTGACAAACAGACAATAATTCAGAAATAATCTGGAGAATGTATCGGGTGGCAGCAAGAATCAAACCTTAGGCCCTCTGCAAACTACCCTTTGTAAAATATGAAAAATGCCACGGTTTCATGCAAGACAAAGCTAAACATTCATTACGTCCAATACAGAATGTCGACAATGTGCAAACCTGAACATTGCTCTACCAGGACGTGCCACCTGGTGTCACTATTGTGTCAGCCTCAACTTTTCCCAGTAGCTCTCTGTCGCCTTGTGTCACAAGCGGTCAAAAGCACAGCAACATAGCCGTGCGCGAACACTTGAGTACAAAAGCAATGAGAATATCTGAGCAAAGACCAGGTCACAGTTGGCAACCAGATCTTCATCATAACGCAAGCACAAGTGTTTGTGTTTATATTTTATCTTCCAGCAACAACTAAGAGCAGAGACGCATATAAACAAATTGAGGGAGATGGACTTACCGTAAATCACTCATTTGTATTTCACTATCGTATGCTTAAGAATCGATTTTGATCGATGAATTGATGTAACACATCTTTCACTCTGTCTTTTTGTTTGCATAATATTTACAAAGCATTCCTCTGGAGATGAACCGGAGCAAGTGAAATGCATTTGGCACCACGGTGGCAAGATGGAGGAGGTTGTGTATTCGATCCCGACCATGACGCCTGTATATTTGGAGTTTGTGTGTCTCTCTTTCCGTCGTCGCGTGGATTTTTCCTACGGGGCATTTTCCCTCGACATTTAGAAATATCCGTGTAGAGTTTTTGGCTGCTATATATTTCCACGTGATAAGCACTTCGTTCGGCTATTACTTGTGGCTGTCGCTTCTGAAAAAGAGACATATAGCTTATTGAACCTTACCTGGTAAAATAAAATTTAAACTTTTTTGTTTTAGTTTACATACTCTTAGTTCTTTCGGTAAAGTCACGTAGGTAAAAAATGGGATAAATAAGGGGCAATTGGTTTATTTATTTAATTAATTATTTTACCTACGTGACTTTACCGAAAGAACTGAATCCTTGCAGTCACGAAAGCTTGAAATCTAGAATTTAGTTTACATCTTAGATTATGTTTTTATTTATGCAGTCATTGGTGACTTGCCTTTGACTAAATCACCCGGAATTAGCCAAATATTGTCAGACCTCAGAAAAAAAGCGGGGCTGAGCCTAGATGCAGCGCTAGGATGGACGCTCAACATGCATGCTCATCAGGTGTGGTAGGTCTGCTGTGGCATAACGTTGTCAGCAGAGGACAGTGCTGCTAAAACCCAGTGTTGTACGCTATTGTGCTATGCTCCAGCATCGATGCTCCACGGCTTCACCAATCAACCCGCACTGCCAGTGTGGTAAAGTATGGTCACATAGCCTCCATCGTCGGATGCCATGCATCCAGTGCATTGTAAGATGGCCTGTACCGTACATGAAACTCAACACACTCTTCAACAACGCTGCCATAACAAATGTACTAGTCAACACTGATTGGTC